TACCTGAAGTGTCTAGATAAAGTTCACTGAAAGAAACTGATATAGACAAAAAATTTAACTAAAGGTTGCTAGAATATAATTGGATAACCACAAAATACAATATTGAAAAGTTCGTTTTATACTAGAATATTATCTGAATGACTAAATTGTGAAGCTGTATATACGTAATGTTAAATTAATCTACAGTCTTTTTAAGTATATTCATTTCTCTTCAAAGTATACTGAGGATTTGGTGGGTCTTAGGATGATCCCTAAAGTGCATTTTCTTACAATCAAAAAGAGTATCGTCACAATAAACTCAGTTAGTCAGAACAATCCAAATTTGAATCCAGTAGTAGGGAGCTCGTGATTTTAGTACAAATTAAGATTGCAGACTATTATACACATACATTGACCGATCATCGTATACTGAGCAACGTTAAATTTGTCTTATCTTTACTTCAAATCGAATCTTATAGATCAAGTTGCAACAAAGCAACTAGTTCAAGTTATTCAACATCATCAAGTTTTGGTATGTTAGTTTAAGGCAAACGATAGGAAATCTTACTTGATCTAGGTTTCACGATATTTGTCAATTATCATTAAGGCGTGCCTACATTTATGAGAGAGCTCATATCTACTATTTCAATTATTTCCTTGAAACCAGTCAAAATAATATCTATTGAAATTTATACATGCAACTACTTTGAACGTATTAAGTCATTTATTTTTCAAGGAAATTATTTATCACAAAAGGTTTCAATATTTGGATTGTACATATGGTATCAGAGAAATTATATATCTCATCCCCGATACATATTAATATATTGGCAAGTGTTTTGACATTCATGGTTATTAATTGATAATTGGCGGATTAATTGTTCATGAATACAAAATTAAAGAAATAACTTCTTTGAATTTACGTTCCATTACATCTCATTTCGAAAAACAATGCTTTCAAAGGATGGACATACACGACCTGCCAAGCGAGTAATATAATTGAACCAATGACTAAGAAGCTTTGATTATTATAGTATACATATATCATAGGTATATACTGTAATTTGTCTTATCCATATAATGGCGTGTAAACTGAGATGTTAAGTAGGTACAGGATTGATTTCAACTAGTTAGAAGCAATTACTAGAAAACTTATCAGTTTTTGATTGAGATCATGAAGCAATTGATGTTGATTGATGCTCACTGCTGAGGAGTCCCACAACAGGATGAAACGGTCTTCCAACGCTTCCAGGTTTTCAACGATGGTCTAATATCAATCGGTACATGATCTTAATCAAAATACTAGAAAACCTGTTCGACCAACATTCGATCACATCTTAAGATTAGAACCAGTATCTTTTACTGCCACTATTATTAAGTTATTCGAGTAGCATTACATATCTAACATTGGACAAGTGAACTGCAATGTTATATCACAGACTAATGGGTACATCAGCATTAGATCGATATAGAATTTGATTAGCAATTGTGATCATATATAGATATATATCACTGATAGTATCACATAACTAACAATCATTCATTTTCCCTACATCTCTTCACAGATATATCGGTTATTCACATTTATGACGATTTCGGGTTAAAAAAAAAGATTGTTTATTCTTATAACTGATTGTTTATCAGTAAAATCCAAGATTGATTGAATAAATAAAACATAATTCTCCTTTTTTTCTCTAGTAATTATTCTCTCTTCAAGTAAATTATATCTTTTTCTCTAGACAAAATACAAATCAAAATAGATCCCTTCTCTTGATTCATGTAATGTATTTCATCATGATTAATTATGTAACATTTTCAATGTATATAAATTTACACTAAATGGTAGTTAGTAGTCATGATAACTGAAGTAGAATAAAAATCTACTATGGATCGACATTTTTTTTAAAATTTTTTTTGTAAAAGACCTTTCTGTCATCGACCATGGTAACTGTGGTAAAATACAATGTAGTTTTAAAGATATTGTAAACTGAGTGTTAATATTTGGTTTATAAAATTCATAAGAAAAGCGAAAACGGTATATATCTATTATTATTATTATTATTATTATTATTATTATTATTATTATTATTATTATTATTATTATTATTATTAGAGTTGAACTATTTCACATTTGTTGAGATTTATGCTTCCTCTGTGTGGATTGACTCAATATAGACAACGAGATCCTTATTGGTAATGAAGTTAACATAATATTCGTTGAACAAGTCGAAGAATAACTCAGTTATTTAATTCCAAGGATAATGAGTTAGGGTTTGAAGTGAACTAGGATATGGCTGACATATGAAGGTGATAATTCCAAAATAGAATAAAGTACAGGGATTAGTTCTCATTATAAGCTCTTATTCATTTGATGTAAAACACAATATCATTGATGATAGATTTACACAAGAAATATAACATGAATTTCTGTTGAGTCGAGTTAATTTCTAATTAAAGTATCAGGTGATAATTGAAGGTATTCGCTTTTTCTATGAACCTTATCAAAGGCAGTGTATAATTATTTTTTGTTTAAATACCCTATTGTATAAAATTCGACTATTAAAATAATATTGAAGATAATTTGGTTACAACTTAAATAAGTTCAATATTTGACCAGACAATCTGATCTGAAGGGGATTTGTGGAGATTGTAATAATCTTTAATAGTTGAATTCATGAGTCAATCTAAGCTAGACCATCATCAAGAAACTGGAAGCACTGGAAGGCTGTTGCGTTCTACTATAGGACTTCATCAGTGCTCATTCACGATCCCACAGGCGAGACTCGAACTCAAGATCTTCAGTCTCACGCGCGAATGCTTAACGTATAGACCACTGAGCCGGCATCTAACGGTGTTAATGTGTAATTTCAATCTATCCATGATCACTCTTCATCCATTGTCTGAGGTGAATAACTGTCTCTACATAACACGGATCGTACTCTACTGATCACGGCTTCTCGTTAGAATTCCAAGAAATCTGATATTGAAGCTAATCACTAGTGAATAGTCACAAAACGAAAACTTTCAAACACCCAGAAAACGTAAGTCTGTACCAAACATTTATCTTGTTTTATTTAAATATTGTATACAATAAAGAAATGAGTCACTCTGCTTGAAGTGCTCTTCAAAAAAAACCTCAACTTCCACTGAAAACTAAATACTTAAAATTTATTAGTCAGGTTCGAGATACGCCAATCACATTATGGAATTTTAAATTGTATGATATTTTATTTTATGCGGACGGTATTCAATACGAAGGACCGTGACGTTTGTAACTATTGAATTAGTGATTAGTGACAGATTATTATTCCTTAACAGCTTTGGACTGAATTAAACGTGTTGTAAATTTAATTACTTTTCTTGAACAGAATTTCAAGTTATAAGATGAAATAAATGTAATTCTAGTCATAGACCGAAAATTCAATAGTGCTGTGGTGTGTGCTACTGATGTCGACAGATATAAATAGTATATCAATATATCAATAGAAAGTGAAATGCCTGGTGGCAGAATGGTAAGGAGATCGAAGAAAAGAAAATGAGAACAGTGAGTGATTGGTGTGGAAACGAAGGAACAGTGACCACAACTTTATATAGTTTGATTAATTAATTTCTAGTGGATGCTGATTATGTTCAGACTAACACTACCGATAATGCAATGAAACTAAAAATTTAGAAGTAACACCATTAGCATAAGGATTGTGCTTATTCATTGGGTTGACTAAATAACTTTCATCATTGTACGGATGACATTTCTCATAAAAATATTAATTTAGTTAATATATTTTTTAAAAAATTATTCTTTACTAATTCATTTTTGGTGGTTGTTTGAATTCCTTGTTCATGGCTAAGGTTGTAATTGATCAGTCTCTTTTTGGCCTATGTGTATACTGAGCGGATCGACTCGATACTATCATTAAGTTAGAAGCACTATAAGCAGAGATGGATGGTGGCTAGCAGCTTATGGATCCCAAATAGGTCAAAACCCACTAATCTAATCACCATCCATTTTCTCTTTTAGGTATAAACAAATTTATTAATTAGTCAAATATTACATTTGAATAGGTATTATGCTGATATTATATTGAATTAATTTTTAACATAAAATTAACTCGAATCTGGCCGAAACTGACAATGAACTTTTCATTTCAATAATGGGTGGGCAATGATAAACTCACTGTGATGTTCTAAATGAACTAATGAAATTATACCTAATTCTCTCATACTGTAAAGAGAGAAAAATGAATCTTTAAGTTTCAGGCGAATTATTTTAATTTCCTTCAGCAATTATGTAGTTAAAATGAAGACTGCGGATATAACCCACTGCTTTAATTCCAGTCATGTAAATATATCCTACTCAATCATGATAATTATTTTAGTTCGGTTTTGTGAATGTTTTACAGTTGTTATAGAATAAATTTATTTAAAAATTTATGCTACTTAGTAGTAGTTTGAATTTTATCCTCAAAAATCAAATTTACAACGAAAGTTTTCTTGGGTAAAAGTTTATTCATCATAAAAAATGGGGAAATATTAAATTTGCACTTTGATATTAAAAAAATGAGGAAACCAGAAAAAAATTGTGGTGGTGAATGTTTTTTTTTTCAGTTCCCAAAACAAACACTGTATATATTATAGGTTATTCATCATTTATTTTATTAAGCATAAACATTGTTATCCTTTATTCAATTCACTAAACAGTAGAATTTATTTTCACTGAACCAATCAAACGTTGGCAAATTTTTCAGTACACAAAATCATTTGCACAAAGTTGTAAGTATGTTTATGATGAATTACGTGAATCTTTTACTTCTAAACGATATGTCTAAATAATCTTCACTAAATATCTAATTATGTTCTGTCACATTTTTGGACGCACAATTTGTTTGAGTGTGTGTATTTGTTTTCCCTTGATGGTGTATTCGGGTGACAAGATCTGTATCTCCCATATATATATATATATATATATATATATATATATATATATATATATATGCACCAAGTTAAGCATAAACTGGATGATTGGCAAATATAAACAAACGAACAAGAGATTTGTTTTCACTTTATCATATATATTATTTTTCCCACAAGACTTAGTTAAAATGAAAATACTAGAAGGTTGACTGGAATACTTATCATTCCATATAGTGTAATGGATTCCATGGATAGTAAAACATTGGTCATTTCATGTTAACAAGTGATGAATATTTAAATATTTGAGAAGAATACATTATCTATAATAGAGAAGTGTATTATGAGAGTAGCATTAAAGATACTTATAATACTATATATAATTCCTTTATATATTGTTAATACTCATAATATATCTTTGACTGAATCAATAAACAATGTTAATAATGCAAAATTACCTATAATTGGACACCAAGAGAGTTAATGCTTGAAATTGCATGTGATCAATTACATCCATGTATTAAAGCATCATGGCTTCCACCAATAGATTATCAACAATATTTTAATAAAAATGACAATACTAATAATAATAATAATAAACATGAATATGACAATAAGAATCAACTTTTAGCTTATAGAATACGTTATCATATTATACATCCAATTGAATTATCCAAAGTCAATGTAAATAATCCTAATTATCTAGACAAAAAATTATTAACCAAAACAATTGAAAAAAATATTACTGGTTTACAATATACCAGTAATCCAGGTGAACATTGTAAGTTTTAGTAAATGGTTATGTCATCGAAAAAATATTCTTTTTTAAGTCTTACAGTTATTTATTTATAACTTTTCTGTTTTTGATACGAGGTGTGTAATTTAATCATTATTTACTTACGCCTGATAGCCCCCATGGAGGAGCGTAGGCCGACTGTCACCATTCTCTATTGTAACTTATTAATTTTGTTTGTAAACTGTAGATTCTTCCTGTTGCTGATATTAAGGTCAACATTTGACCAATTTATTCTCTGGGGGTGGGGGGGAATATATGTAACTTTAATGTATTGACTTCATACCGTCACTTAGTCATAAAGTTTTAAGTAAAGTTAAATTGCGATTATCAATAGAATGTAGGACATATGTTTGTTTTTGTTTAACATTCATCAAATGGTTGTACTTGGATCCTCACATGGAGTTTCGAAGTCTATTATCTTTCCCTTCAGAAGCGGAACTTGTTATTCACTAGGCTTTTGAATCGTTCATTATTAAGTGGATTTAAATGTATTTGTTTAAATTATACTACCTTGCTAATACCTTATTGATCAAAAATGTTACTAGCACAACCGTCTATACGATGATTTCTAAAATTTAACTCGGTAATAATAATTAGACTATCCAGTTATTGTTACATGGAAATAGGTGAAACGTTCGTTTACACTTCATAAATTTAACAGTAAAAAAATATTATTTCTTCGAAAAAAACACCTTAATAAACTGATTAATATACTTGAATTCATGAGTTAATTCGAGCTAGACCACCATCGAAAACCTGGAAGCACTAAACGGCCGTTTCGTCCTATCATGGGACTCCTCAGCAATGCACACTTACGATCGCGTGCGCAGGATTCGAACTCATGGCCTTCAGTCTCGCGCGCGAACGTTTAACCTCTAGACGTATGAGCCAGGTTTTTAACGGTGGTTTAACATTCATCGGTTCATAATCTCAATCAAAAAACTTAACAATTTCCACAATCCTATATTGATAAAAATAAATAATTGTTTTTATTTGCCTGCTTTTCACATATTTGTTAGTTTTAAATTTGTCTGACTTTAGAAAACAAAATCACTCGTTGGTAAGAAACCAAAGAACATGATTTGATATTTCATAGTTTATAACATGGACTTATTTTAACTAGAAACTATTGAAAGGAAGTAAACACTAGATAATTGTGTTACTTTAGTATAAGACTATTGGGTATTTACTATTAAAGATCGCGTTGAAAACTGAACCCAACACTATAAGACCTTGGAGAGAGGGCTTGACTTTCTGTCCACTGAATTGATATCCAATAGTTTATATTCCTAACTTTGGTAAATTCGTAAGATCGTGCAATCATTATTAATGGATTGTCCAGTGTTACCTGTTTTCCAGCGGTTGTCTAGCCATAATCAGTCTATGTTTTAAACTATAAAGTTTGGAGAATAAGGATTATGATTTACAGCTGATAGTTAGGGTTAGGAATTAAATTTACGGTTTTTCATCATGAACTAGCATCAGCTAAAATGACAGGACGCTATTTGGATAAATGGATGAGTACATTTCTCACCAAAATCCAAGACCTGTTATCCTAAATCTGATTGGTTCGTACACAAATTAGAATCTCTCCGGACAGACGAAACTGATTTATTTCATCATACTTTTAGTTTGATATATTCCGGTTCCTTTTCTAGTGAAGGTGATGTAAATTTATGGGTAATTTTAAATAATTCAATTGGAACACTTTTAATTATAAGATATACACTCAAGTAGTGAAATTATCTGAACCGGAAAAGATTATTCCATTTCATGGATTAATATTGAAAAAGGAATATAAATGTGACAATGTTTTATGAAGTTTGACAGTCCAAAAGTGATTCATTGATGACATTGAACAAAGATTGAGCAACAGTGTGAATTAATTAATTGGATTGAATTGATTAGACTCCAACTTATTTTTTTGGCGGCCTTCTTGAACACATGGGTTACCTGGTCTTGACAACTAGATATTTCAACAAGTTATGCAATTTTGTTTGTTTGAATACATCATTATGGTTATTAGTCACATGACCTATTCAGGTGCGTTCGTGTAAAGTGTACAACCTTTCATTGCATAATTTACAAAAAGCTCAATCAGAGATATCGTGGTTTTAGGCAATACGTAGCAAAAAGAATGTATATTAATTAGACGTCAATTGACTGAACTGTTACCTTCTAACTGGCGATCATTCAATATCTATCGTCAGGATAGACCATGAAATAAGAAACGGAAACTTGTTGAAATACTTCGTGCTGCGAATTCATTATTGTATCAAAAATATAATATTGAATAAAGCCATTAATAATAATAATAATAATAATAATAAAATCAATTTATATTTATCAGAGAGAAATGAATGCCATGACCTATATTTTACGTATGGACGTGTGTGGGGAGGAGTTAATAAGATGAAATTCATACGCCTATGGTTGTTATACATTGTAAAGTCTCTTTCGTTCTCTTTATATCAATAGTATGTTCAATCAAACAATGCTTAAACTCTTACAATATTAATGAATACAATAAACATTTTTTATATCTAATTCTACATAATTATTTGTGCTAAATACAAACCATGTTTAATACATAGGACGAAAAGCGCGTCCTGGATTTCACTGCTAGCCACTATCCATTTTTGCTTAGAATGCTTGTGAATTAAGGCAATATCGAAGTAATACACACAATATGCACATATGTCAATAAGAGACTGATCGATTCCAGTTCTAAACATCAATTGGAATATTCAAGTAAATAATATCAAGTAAATTTAACACTCCCTTGTGTTATAAGTTTCTAGTTACATTTCTAAAAATGATAACTCGAAAGTAAATTTTTAAGAAGGAAACACATTTCACTTACCATGCATAATATATCCTTTTAAACTATGTACAATATGTCATCTATCAAAAATAATTGCCATTTTAATCTTTACTTGCCCCCAAATGCCGTGGTACGGTCGAGGGTGGGAAGAGTCAGCTCTCCCTCAAAAAATAATCTCACATGGACACGCCTATACAACAACTGTCAAGCAAGTCCTACTCACTTCATTCTCGTACCACAGGTGTTGTTTACGAAATTGAGAGGACGAAAAGCGAATGTCTGGCATTTTAACCAGTTTGGTGGATACGGAGAGTCCACCTAGGGGAGTTGGAAAACACTGATTTCAAACCAATGGCTAACATGAGATCCAGAATCTTGAGGGAATAAATGGCGTATGAACCTATTGTTGGTCACCAGCTACCATGAGACCCCATCTCCTGACGTTGCTCCACTATCTTGTGGATCAAATCTTTAGGTTGAAGGCTCTTGGTGCGACCCTCTAAGAAAACCACGTGCTTCGGTTTTGGCGCCCGTACAGTGTCACAGCCTACACACAAAGCAAGTGACAGGTGTGGCGCATTTGTATTCTTTGCCCCATTGCACTAATATTTATATGTTCAAATAAACAAATAAAGAATTCTTTTAATATGAACCCAAACCAATGGACTTTGAGTAAATGGGATATCCATCACATAAAAACACCTCAATATTAATAACTTGCACACACTAATATGAGATAGAGAAGACTGAAGTATTAGATAGCTTTATATTACAAGAAGTAGTATGATTTTCACGATTGAATTTTATTCAGCCTTTGTTTTCACATATGCATCGAATGTGGATCGCTTCAAGAGATTCATTGTTTCATAAGTTAATCAGAACAGATGAACCGTTACCGGTGATAAGATCATGAATGCATATTTCTTCCTATTTGTGACCGATCACAATGACACAAATATAATACCTGTTACACTCGATAGCTTAGTGCATAACACATTGAAGGTTTAAAGAGAAAGGTCTATAGACCACCAAGCCGGCATCCAACGCTATTATTATCTAACTTCAACTAATTCACAAAATTGAGCCACCGTTCACCATTGTCCTCAGTGACTTGTGTCGTTCATGTATATTTGGTACCTCCTTGTACCAATGTTTATGTGTTTAGAAAAATTATGACTATTATTAAACCGTCTGATTTTAAAGCTTTCACAATGAACGAAATATTCCTACATCTTATCCTGTGTACGGTGAAGTGTTAGTACATAAGAAATAATATCAAAGAGTAAGAAACTATTGTTTGATCCCTTCTAGTTAATCAAATAACGTCAGCTCATCAAGAAAACTATCTTTGAGTTAAATAGATAGCCAGGTCTAGGACAAAATTCAGCATTCAGGATTATTTGTAATATAATATGATCAGAAGGGGTTTTGTGGAGATTGTAGTAATTTCAACAGTTGAGATCATGAGTCGATTGAAGCTAGACCACCATGGAAAACCTGGAAGCACTGGACGGCCATTTTTTCCTATTGTGATAGTATGTGAATTCAGGATTATTTGTAATATAATATAAGATAAAATCTTTAATGTTGGGATGACTAATATAGTGTTGATTTAAATAGGTGTATGCGTTAAATGAAATTGCAAGATTAATGATCAGAATAAATATGATTAGCATGAGATGAGAGAGAATAATGTAACTTCATATCAAAAACCATGTAACATATCGAATGATATGAATTAAGTACGAATTAGTAAATAAGGATGGATACTGAATAAATTTCTCCATGGGTATACAAATGTCATAACAATAATAATAGCAATCTCGTGAGCGGGATCGTGGATGCGCACTGTTGAAGAGTCCCACAATAGGAGGAAACAGCCGTCCAGTGCTTCCAGATTTTCAATGGTGGTCTAACATCAATCGGTTCATGATCTCAATTAAAAACTTAGTAATCTCCACAACTTCTATACTGAAAATGATTATTAACTAACTAGGCCAGAAGTTGACCAAAGTCAAGGTAGCTGTTGAAAATATTTCTTCTGGACTCAAAGCTCCAACTTTCTGATCTAGATAGCTATTGCTTCAGACGTCTGAAGGATTCTTAGTTTGACAGATTTAAGTAAATTGCTGTAAACATGATATATGATTGTAAATGATTGCTCCATATTGACTGAATGGCCCATTTGTACTAAACGAGCTAGAATCGAGCCGTTAACAGTTTAAACTCCACAGGTATATGGATATAAAATTTAATTATGGTTCTCATAATAATGAAATTTAAAGCTGAAAGCTGATCAAAAGTATTATACTAGTAATGTTCATTATGTAGATTACTTACTGACGCCTGTAACTCCCAATGGAGCATAAGCCGCCGACCAGTATTCTCCAACTCATTCTGTCCTGGGCCTTCCTTTCTAGCTTTATTCAATTGTTGTTCATTCTTTTATATCTGTCTCCATTTCCCAACGTAGTGTGTTTTTTGGTCTTCCACTTCTCTTTCGATCTTGAGGATTCCATGTGAAGGCTTATCTTGTGACGCATTTGGGTGCTTTCCTCAATGTGTGTCCTATTCAATTCCAGTGCTTCTCTCCGATTTCTTCCTTCGCTTTCAGATTTTCCGTGGTGGTCTAGCTTCAACTGACTCATGAATTCAACTATTAAATTAAAGTTTCATAGAGGCTCACATAAACATGATCATTTATGTTTTGATGGAAAAATCTGTAACGAACGATAAACACTATTGTCAATGCTTCTTAATATATAACACGAAAAGTAGAGATATAAATTAGTTGATGAGTTTGCAAACGTTTGTCAACTAAGGTCGTAAACTATGTGTTATGTATTTCTGGTCACTATCTGGTCGTATGTGTGGTGCTGACCTGCGTAAGAATGGGCTAGATAAGGATAAATGTGATCAGAAAAACACATATGAAATTAATAACTACCTAAATGAACCTTGTCAGGAATTACTAATTTTCTGATCTCAATCCGCTAGGTAACCGTAATGGATGTTTGACTAACATTTGCAGGATAACTTGAAATAATTTTTCATAATTGAATAAATAAATGACTATTCGAGCTTGTATATATTTTACCGACTTGACTAGGCTTTATGGATATGGTATGTTGGCGTTTTAAAATGAATGGATTAGAAGGTTGTATTCAGCAAATAATATATCAACCTGATAGCCACTCTCTCTTCTTGTTCACATAGACTGAATCCCAACACTGAACATTTAGAATGTCAGAGTATTATTCGATAACTTGGTTATGCATAATATATGATATTTATCCGAGAAGTGATAGAAATTATAACAATATGAGGTTGTTCGAGGTGATTGACAGGAAACTTTGAACCTAAGTTTGTCTCAGTCCTACAGGATGTCACTTGCAAACAGAATAGTTCAGTGATAATGTCTTACACTGAAGCTAGGTAAAGTGACTCTGAATGCAAAAGGAAGCATACATTTCCTTGATGTTACAAGTATGTCTTGTAGTTGAATACAGACTAGCACGAAACTTAGGTCTAGGACTCTTTATGGAAAAACTTAAACCAATGGCTTAATCGCAAATTGATCAACTAAATTCCATTAGAACTGATGCACCAGACAAACACTATTCTCTGATCAATCAGCTGTAATTGTATTTAATTCCCCCCTCCTAGAAATAAATAAGTGTGGAATGTAAACAATTCTAGGTTGGCATACCATTTTTTTCTTAGTCTTAAGTATATGATTAAAAAATTACACATTATAATGAAAAGAGTTTTTTAATGGAATTCATAACGAAAGAAAACTTCTCCGCAGAGAAAAAATCCTCTTATTGTTATTGTTTTCATTTACTCTCCCTTAAAACTATTTGTTACCCTTTTTGAATGTAACACTGAAGCTAATCAAGATTTGTATATTTTAAATATTATTATAGTGTTCGGTGTAATTTATGAAGTTTCTGTGGCTGGCGTTACTGAGAATGGATATGGTCGAGATGCAATTAGTCGAATAGCTACACCTGAATCAGGTAAATATCTGTTACATTTGGAAAGTTGAAATTAAAAATAAAACGTTTTTTAATAGTCAGTAAGAAATTACAGTTGATTTGGTGATAATTTTGTACTTTATGCCATGGAGTAGGCTTGTTTAGCTAAATATCAAAAACCAAGAATTACCGGACTACCATTTTGTACTATTATATGACTTCTCCATAATATAAACCAAGAATCTACTGAGGACTTTCAAATCTTATTAAGATCCTAAACCACTGAGTTAGGACCCAATGGTGTAGTACTACTGACGAAATCGAGGTGTAATTCCTCGAGTTTTCGGAGATACCACGACAGGTGATGCACAAATGCGTCAGGAATGAAATGGATATCGCCAATGGCAATGAATGATGGTAGTGCAAGAGTGTGAATGGATTGAAATAAGCATTGTAAACCATCGAATCTCGACTCACTTGTCTGGATTTCAGGTACTATCTCCAATACCTGAGGTTTTGGTATTCAATTTATGTTGCTTCCATGCATGTGTATTGTTAAGTTCCCTCCTGAGGGAAAACAGCCGTTGAGTACTTTTGATTTTCACTCGTTACCTAACTAGAGTCAGAATGTGATGCAAACTATAAAACATCCTAACTTCATTTGTTCGGCATTTTTTATGATGGTTTCACGAACAATTTTAATCATCTTCTTCCAAGCTGTGACATTCTAGATTTTTAGAAAGTAATTAATGCAGGTCGAAAGGTAACTCCCTCGAATATAATTTTGAACAAATTATTTTGATCATCGAATAAATTACACCATAAGTATAGATGGGTGGTGGTTAGCGGTGGAATCCAGGAAGCTCATTTCATCCTACTTGTGACTAGTTGTCTGGGTGTATCTACATCCCAGAGTTGATGTCCACTCCGAGACATTGATTATAATGCTTGTGACTGAAGGCGATATTGAGGCAATCCGCACAGGATGTACATATGTCAATAAGAGACTGATCAATTGCAGCTCTAAACATCAGTGGAAAGATTCAAACAACCGATACAAAAATGAAATAAACTTCACCCTATTTCACAAGTCAGTGTCTATCTGGACTCAGTAACTAAGTGAATAACGCGACGGATTCGTGTCCATAGTGGATATCAACTCTGAGATTCAGGTACACTCAGCCAACGAACCCCAAACAAGACTAAATGCGCGTTCTGGATTCAACTACTAGCCATCATCCATCTCTTCAGATGTATATGGTTGCAACAAGAAAGCTTTTTTCAATGCAGAATTGTCCAATTTCAATTTAATTGTTTGCCTCACCTCAACAGACACGAATGCACAAGGTTAAAATAATTCAGATCCTTATAAAATGTAAAAATATTACTTTATATTTTAATAATCTCTTAATTTGTATTGTGGTGCGTGCTACTTATATTGATGTAAGTAGTATATAACGCGAGTCGGGAATGTAATGTCTGGCAGCAGAAGGTTGGGAAGATCAAGAAAGGAAGGACGGGAATAGAAAGCAATTAGTATAGAAATGCCAGAACAATGAAGTTCGAGACAATTATTGAACATTTTGCAAATTAGGTATTATAGTATGGTTTTTCTATTTTACCAAGTAACTCTGTAATTTGTGCTAAATGTGATTTGATTGTCCCCACCCGTGTTCTGTTCACTGCAGTAATGACCGGTTATCAAGTGTCCATAATATCTCTAGACGATTAATTGAGAATACATTTTGAATCATGAAATAACTATTGATAACTACACTTGTTCATAAGGAACTATATCCGTATGTAAGAATTTGACAACTATTAAAATCAGTCTGTTAATTGTGTTCAATTGTCCAATATTATAGCGCCATGAATTCATAGGTAATAACTATCGAGTGCTACTTAGTTTTTTGAGTCTTCTCTTTTTCATATCAACTTATGGAAGAAACTACTTTTAAACTATTTAATTAGTAATATGGCCACCACAATAGTCTATAAAATAGTTTTCATGATCATTTTAAAGTTCATTTAAACGAAAAAAACACAACAAGATTTATAAAATACAAAATGGTATACTTATATAATAGGATTTATGATAACCCATTACACTATCTCTTTATATTTCCCTCAGTTACAAAAAAAGGTTTATCATGTGTATGTATAAGTATGTTCATCTCTTACTTATTCAGTAATATAATGATTTTTATCAATTTTTCTTTTAATATTTTGGTATTCATCATAAAAAAGTTTAAATAAACCAATAACACCTTTAACAGATACATTCAGTATTCAAAGGACACTAACCGCCATTTTCAAAATTTGTTTTTTTTCTTTGCTTTACATCAGATAATTAGTGTTTTCTTTTTTTGACATGATTTTAATTTAATGTGTGAAATAATTCATAAACATATAACCTAATTAAGTTATTTAATAATTGAATTCATGAATCAATGGAAGTTAGACCACCATGAAAAGATTGGAAGTACTAGACGGCTGTTTCATCCTAGTGTGGGACTCTTCAACAGCGCATATCCAAGATTGGTTGAAGTTAGGTAGTAACATTGTTAGACGCCGACTCAGTAGTCTAGAGGTTTAGCATTCACATGTGAGACTGATAGACCTTGAGTTCGAATCCTGCGAGGCAGGATCGTAAATACAGATTGCTAAGGAGTCCCATACTTGGATGAAATGGCTATCCAGTGCTTCCAAGTTTTCTATGGTCGTCTAGCTTCAATTGACTCATGATTTCAACTATTAAATTACTATAATATCTACAAAACCCCTCTCTGATTATTATTAAGTTATGTTTTAATTTATAGATTAATGGATAAAAATTAATGTAAGAAATTTTAATCATGCACAACATGCACATCAATGAAATTTACGATGGATATTTTGTGTTGTTTTTTATCATTTCGGAACTAATCATCTGGATGTAACTGTCTTCCAGAGTTGATGTTCATATTAGGAGTCAAACATAGTATATTTAACTTCACACTTCACTATGTTATCGACTAGGCTGCTGAATTCAGAGAGTTAACATTTTGTTAAACAAATATGATTCTTATACGTGAGGATTTGTAGTTTTCAATTGTTGATGTTAAGGGCTAAAATTAATCACAGATTGAATTCAAAACTTGGTATACATCTCAACAATGAAACACAGGTACATCTGACTGAGGAGTTTGAAATAAGATGGAATATAGGTCGTAAATTCTATTGTTAACCACTGTCCATATTTACTAAATTTTTCCATTTGAACATTTTTTTTCAATTGGCCTCACAGATAAAAATTTATACTGTGTTGACGACTAATGTACAACAAATCTATAATATCAGAAAGAGGGTTTTGTGGAGATTTTAGTAATTTAATAGTTGAGTTCAAGAGTTGATTACGGGACTCGAACTCAGGATCTTTAATCTCACCCGCGAACGCCTAACCTCTGCTCCAGGAGTCCTAGTGAGAAGTCGTGACCAATGGAGTTCAACCATGTCTGTTGTGAGGCAGTGACTCACTGAGGACAATGGTGAACGGTGGCTTAATTTTGTGGATTAGTTGAAGTTGGACAATAACACCGTCGGATGCCGGCTTGGTAGTCTATAGGCCTTTCGCTTTAAACCTTCAATGTGTTATGCACTAAGCTATCGAGTGCAACAGGTATGATATTTATGTCATTTCGATCAGTCACAAATAGAAAAAAAATATGCATTTATGATCTTATCACTGGTTACGATTCATCTGTTCCGATTAACTTATGAAACAATGGATTTCTTGAAGCGATCCGCATTCGATGCATATGTGAAAACAAAGGCTGAATAAAATTCAATCGTGAAAATCACAATACTTCTTGTAATATAAAGCTATCTAATACTTCAGTCTTCTCTATCTCATATTAGTGTGTGCAAGTTATTAATACTGAAGTGCTTTTATGTGACAGATATACGATTTACTCAAAGTCCTATTGGTTTGAATTCATATTAAAAGAATTCTTTATTTGTTTATTTGAACATATAAATATTGGTACAATGGGGCACCGAATACAAATGCGCCACACCTGTCACTTGCTTTGTGTGTAGGCTGTGACACTGTGCGGGCGCCAAAACCGAAGCACGTGGTTTTCTTAGAGGGTCGCACCAAGAGCCTTCAACCTAAAGATTTGATCCACAAGATAGTGGAGCAACGTCAGGAGATGGGGTCTCATGGTAGCTGGTGACCAACAATAGGTTCATACGCCATTTATTCCCTCAAGATTCTGGATCTCATGTTAGCCATTGGTTTGAAATCAGTGTTTTCCAACTCCCCTAGGTGGACTCTCCGTATCCACCAAACTGGTTAAAATGCCAGACATTCGCTTTTCGTCCTCTCAATTTCGTAAACAACACCTGTGGTACGAGAATGAAGTGAGTAGGACTTGCTTGACAGTTGTTGTATAGGCGTGTCCATGTGAGAACATTTCGAAAAGAAGATTTGACTGTTCTCACCCTCAGCCGTAGCAGGGCATTCGGGAGCCAAAAGAATCCTAATAATATCAAAATCAGCAATTCCCTACCGAATTCAACAACAAAATTTCACATTAATCTAATCCTTTTCTTCTTCTTTAGAATTGTTTTATTTTTTAACTTTAAAACCATGATTAGATTAGACGGTCAAATTCAAAGTCCCTCTGTTATTAGTAATAAATACATATTACATGACATGTTTCTATACCTTTCCCAAGTCTATTCATTAAAGATCTGGTTATTGAATATATATATATATATATATATATATATATATATATATATGTATATATATATATATAATGTCATTTCGGAAATCAAAAATAACTCACAACAAGAAAACATAATCAAAGCAAATACAAGCCGAATAGAATCAAATTAGAAGATAAATTTATTTACATATGTTCATGTATGTTCCAATTTACAAAGAGACTTTCCAATATTACAAATTAAACAGACCAAGAAACGAACAACAAATCAGTTCCGCCTAATTGATAATGTATAAATAATTTAAATGTGAAAAATATAAAAAAATATTTAGTTCCACTTCATTATGGAATAGAGAAGGGAACAAATTATATATATATACTGAATTGATTTTTATTCTATTTCAAGGAATTCATAGTTAAATGTTAAAAAAATTAGAATAAACATTGATGTAGTATGTCGGAAGAAAAGTAGGTACAATATACATAAATGCTGATATTAGTCTGTAAATTCATTTACAGTTGATCACAGTCATATTTGATAGGTGTAGATTATCTGGTTAGGGTTTGAACAATAAGAGTGATGAATGCTTGAAAACAGGATGAAATGGTTGAGTCTTTACATAGATCACAATTGATGGCTATTCTATGAGTAAAGATGGATAGTGGCTAGCAGTGGAATGCAGGAGGCGTGTTTTATACTATATGGGACTCGTCAGCTGGATGTACCTGCAGTTCAAAGTTGATGTTCACTTTGGGACTCGAACCTAGTACCGTTCGTTTCAAACACCATCGCGTTATCCACCTAGCTGTGAATAAAGCCTGTAATTTAAGGCAATATCAAGGCAATCCACACAGGATGCACATATGTCAACAAGAGACTGATCAATTGTAGTTTTAAATAACAATAGGAAGATACAAGTAAACAACACCAAATGAATTTAAACTTCACTCCATAGCACAAGTAGGTGGCTATCAGAACTCAGTAGCTAAGTGGATAACGTGATGACGTTTGAAGCGAATGGTAGTGGGTTTTTGTCGCAGAGTGAACATTAATTCTAAGATGCAGATACATCCGTCTGACGAGTCCCAAATAAGACGAAACACGCATCTTGGATTCCACTGCTAGCCACTATCCATATTTGCTTTTAAAGCCTATAACTGAAGGCAATATCGAGGTAATCCTCACAAGATGCACATATACCAACAAGTGACTGATCAGTTGCAATCCTAAACAACAATATGAATATACAAGCAAACAACATCAAGTGAATTTGATGGCTGTTCTATTCCAAAAAACTTTCAGTAGTCAACAATTATCTGTGTAATTAATTGTTATCAGCATCTAAGAATCATCGATCTAAATCAAGTATGTTTTTATTGCTTAATAATGAACGTCTAAAATAAATTCCTTTATTGTTTAGTGGAACATACTGAGATGTATACAGAATAATATGAGATAGGGAAATAACAATCTTACAATGAGCTTGGTGACTTAATTGTTCAGTTATTTAAGTATCAGTGACAACTTAATCAGAATGACTAAATAGATAGTATGGTACGGATTGTTGCGTAGGTTTATTCAATGCATTAAGTTTTCAGTGTAATAAAACAGTTAAGAAGATACATAGACAACCGCATGAATATACGAATGTACACTGATAGAAGTCAAAAGTTTATATGAATAAGTAGAAAATAATTAACTGGATAAAAATGGCACATTTAACAATTCGATAAATATATCGCTCTATAATAATTCATATCAAGTTTGTATAGACTTGTCATACTAATTCATCATTGTAAAACTATAAACGTGAGTAGGAATACGCTCCCTGTCTTTAAAATCAACAATACGGGGCTTCTATGATGAAGACCTGAAACTAAGCCATAAAAGTACAAAACAATTTACTATTGAAAGATAAGACATTTTATTAATTGGTTAATTATTTACCAATAAGGGAAAACTAGTACTAATGTAGAAAAACAGTCATTTGGTGTATATTAAATGATCCCCTAGTAATGATCCATGTCATATTTGTCTAGTCCTTTATCCTAAACAAATCTATATGATTAATTTATGATGTGACCATTAATTCAAATAATTTGATACTGTCAGTACTATACTTTAGTGTTACGTGATTAGAGGCAGTCAACGAGAAACCATGTAGTTCTTGAACAAGACATATCTACAATCTTTACGGAAGTAGTGCTCTCTGTGGAACTTAAACATTGGTCTACCATCTTCTCAATTTGAAGCGTTCAGACTGAACTATTAAAGTCACAGTTGATCATTTGTAAGATATTGATTGATCACAAAATGGTAATCAATGTCGTATTTATCTACTCACTAATGTTACATAATCATAAAATAATTATTCGGTTGATAATGAATAAAACTATGGTTGACATCACATCTATTTACAACAAGATTTGATTATGCTTTCTGCTTATTATTATTCATGGTAGAACAGTCCTGATGTAAGCAATCATTGACTAATGGATGCAAATTTTTCTATATTCTCATAAAAAGATGGAATTGAGGAAGCCTATGATAAAGGGATTGGATGTTTAACTTTGATTTAATGATTTAAAGTTATTGCGCTCAACCCAAGTCTATGAAATTCCAGATTTGATCCCGTGTAGACTTATGAATTCGCATTGTTAGGGAATTCAGATTTGAAGTAAAATGATTTCCATTTGATTTACCCATCAACACTTTTAAAACTTCACAAAAAAGTCATTATTTAATAAATCATTCTTTGATTTAGCTCCTTCAGATGCTCCAAGTAACTTCCGTGTAGTTGGAGGTAATCAAACATCTGTACAGTTAGCTTGGGAACCACCAAGATTATTATATCGAAATGGTATTATAATAAAATATCAAGTTCGATGTTATATTGTTGGTGAAGAAGAAACTCATGATGAATTAAAAACGCTAACAGAACAAACTTTAAAATTATCCAATCTACCAACAGCAACACATGCTTGTTTAGTACGTGCATGGACTAAGGCTGGTCCAGGACCTTGGAGTGATCGTATTCAATTTCTTATAAATCAGAAAGGTAGGTCAATTTGATAAGAAAAATATCGTTTTGTTAAACTCAGTGATAGTTGTTTTTTCTGTAAATTTCTCTCGAATTCTTAGCTCTTAACAAAGGTTTTAGTAACATCTAAATTTTCCCACATCATGCCTTGTTTTCGATGAACCATGTACACTCTACTTAAAAATATAGTTATTATGTTAATCAGAAAATGTAGTAAATCTCATTCAGGACTGATTGATTATTGTAAACAAAAGAAAGGTATATAATTTCAATTGTTAAGATCATGAGTCAATTGAAGCTAGACCGCCATGGAAAACGTGAAAGCACTGAACGGTCGTTTCGTCCTAGTATAGGTCCCCTCAGCATTGCACATCCAGGATCTCGTACACAGGATTCAAACTCAGGATCTTCAATTACGCCCGCGAACGCTTAACCTCTAGATTACTGAGCCAATGTCCAACGGTGTTAATATCTAACTTCAACTAATCCACGAAATTGAGCGACACATCCACCATTGTAATCAGTGAATTACTATCTCACAACAGACCCGGTTGAACTCCACCGGTCACTGCTGATGATCTCAATTATTAAAATTACTATAATATCCACAAAAACCCCTTCTGATATTTTCATCTGTTTGATTTCGTGACATTTTATAAATAAATATAATGTATTATCAGGTAAAAGTACAATATGGAGACAAGCCAGTCAGAAATGAGATTATGGTTTTTAATTTTTCCCTCGCAAAATTCAAATATTATGTATCATAAGTAGTAGAAATACCTTTCTATACTACTCAAAATGTTCAAAATAATGAAAAAAATTATAAGTTTGTTGCCATCATATAGCAAAAATAGTGGTCTCAAATGTAACGAATACTCAACTTTATCTGTTTAGATTGTTTATAATAAGAAAAATCAACATTATCCTTAATTATTAATGTTAAATCTTTAATCCTGAAACAAATTTTAACTTGTTGGTAATAGATATTATGAGACAGCACCTCAAACATCTTTGAATGAAATTCATTCATATGTCCATGGAAGAGTTTTGTATTGTGGCAGATGTCAATTTGTAATAAAATCCATAACTTTAAACTGTTAACTCTTAAACTTTAATACCTAACCTTAGCCAATAACAATGTCTGAACTCCTGTAATTTTGTTTGAAACGTTAAGTGGTGTTCAATGAGACCGATAAATGAAATCCATAAGAACGAATATATATATCCCGTTACTTTTTTATATGCAGTTAAAACAATTTGTAAAAAAACCCTAACACGTTCATTTATTTGCATTTTGCATCGTTGTAGTTTTTTTCTTCTCAACCAGTTCATTTACAAAAGCCAGAAACTGACCAGAATCTTATCGTGGTCATTTTAGGCTCATCCCTAAACTATACTCCTACCCATTATTGCTCTCGTATGATTTATTAAGTTTGAGAAGTCAATGACAACCCATATACTTGTAGGCTTATTCGTTTTAATAAATAAACTTTCGTATAATTCTATCTCATTAAAACCAATTAAACATACTGTGGTATGTACTACTGACATCGATAGATTTAAGTAGTATGTATCATTAATCGAAAGTAGAGTGACTGGAGGCAGAAAGTTCAGAAGATCGAAGAGAACTAGAACAAAGAGTAATTGGTATGGAAACGAGGGAACAATGAAGTCTGAGACAATTGGTGGATATTTTGCAAATGATGTATTTACTGTATGGTTCTCAGATTTTACTAAGAAATTCTGTAATCTTGTATTCAAATACATTCGGTTGTCCCCGCCTGTGTTCACGTTCACTACAAGTGATAAAATCGAATCCAATGGAAAAATACATCATTCAGCTATATATGACAACAAATAATGGTTTTTTAATATAATTCATTTTATGGTGATTTCATAGAATTTTGGTACAAGGCTAGTGTGTAACGTTTTAAAAAAGAAACACTAAAATTGTAGATTTGCTTATGAGTATAAACCTTTGACCTTGTACAATAACAAACTCAGTGTCATTTAGATCATGAATCAATCATTGTTAGACCACCAATGAAAACTTGGAAGCATTGGATGACCGTTTCATCAGTGCTTATCTACTTAAGCGGGACTCAAAACCAGTAACTTCTGATGCACACTGCTGAAGAGTTCTAGACTAAAACGAAACAGCTGCCTAATGCTTCCAAGTGTTCACTGATTCATGATCTCAATAAAAATCACTAACTACCACAATCTTACACTGATAATCTTATTCAATAATTTGAGAACACACATGTCTAATACATCATTGTTTTGAATGGTTTATCAGTTCAACGAACTTTATTCAGAACAAATGATGAATATTGTCAGAAGGATGAACATTTTTCAAAATAAAAAACAAACAGACATTCATACTGGTTTGGGTTTTTTTCAATGTTTTTGCTTTCCATGTTTCAATCAATTACCAATATATATGGAAGATAAATGGAACTATTAATGAATAGATTCAGGAATGTAGGATGATTTCAAAGATATGCTTATATATATATATATATATATATATATATATATATATATATATATATATATATATATAATGTTATTGTATATTTCGACTGCATTTAATCCCTTCTATTCCATGTGAATTGAACATTTATAACCTACATTAATTGTTTTATTAAATGAACGAATACATGATTCACAATGTAAATAGATCTACTATGGTATTATTAAATGTAAAAGACATTTTAATTTTAGCATGCTATTTATCATTGTGTATGTGTGTATGTGTGTGTGAAAAGCAAACAGACAAACACATTCGATGTAAATATGATAGAAATAAATGTGTACTATGAAAATGTACTATGGTCAGTTCACAAGATTTGTTATTATGGTAGTGGGTAGATCTGTTTTTTTTGTTCAGCAACAAAAAAGAACAGGATAAAATTAGTCATGGTAATGTGTTATAACTTGTCCCCTTGTGCCCAATTAATGTATGATGTAATGATAGCACCAATTTGAGAACTGTGAATTATCGGCCGGACCAATGAAGCATAAAACCCGTACAAGCAGTGCAGAGTCCTAGTCGATCCTCCTTTCTGACTGGGCTTACCTGTTGAGATTAGAACACCAATCCCAGACTCTGCGATATAAATCATGTATTTCAGACATACTGGGTTTATATATAACTCAAACAGTCCACATCGTACCATAAAATAGAAGATAACATTTGTACAAAATTTAGCCAAATGTGGCCGTGAATGTGTAGCAATTCGGAAAACTCTTCCGGCCTCCCACATTGTACGAGCATTCCATGTACCTAAATTAAAGGTTGCTCTGGTTGTCAGAAGGGGCATCAGCCTAGTGACTTCCAAAGGAACTCGGCTTTCACCATGAAGCGTCATAGTTCTTCTAGATGGAGACCTTCTAACTCCCAGAGCAGAGTTTAAATGGTTTGAATTATCCTTCCTGGTTAGCATTTTTTTAGTGAGTTAGTTTTCTAAGGAATGGGGTCACTAAACCCATGCCCAACCCTCCTCCTCTATCCGGGCTCGGGACCAGCAGTAGCCCAAGAAGGGCTCCAGGCGGAGTTAGGAAACAACCTACAACCAAATTATAATTAAATGAAATTAACTACGTAGTTGCAATCACCCATCAATTAGCTTTGAACATCCATCTGGTGCTAGGTAACACAAAATGGTATATTCAGAATCTTGGAAGATCCTAAGATTCTTGTGGTATTTAAATATACAGAGAAACATTACAACTGAGTTGTTCAAGCTCCAACTAATTACCTGTAACAGTCAAATTCATTGACACAATTTGATCATTCTAACGAGTATATGATATGACATCGATTAATGCTAACTGATCATTTCTTACTTACTTACGCCTGTTACTCCTAATGAAGCATAGTCAGCCGACCAGCATTCTCCAACTCACTGTTACGGGCCTTCCTTCCTAGTTCCATCCAATTCTTGTTCATTTTTTTATGTCTATCCCCATTTCTCGACGTAATGTGTTTTTTGGTCTTCCACTTTTCTTTCGATCTTGAGGATTCCAAGTGAGGGGTTGTCTTGTGACGCAGTTGAGTGCTTTCCCCAATGTATGTCCTATCCACTTCCAGCGCTTCTTCCTGATTTTCTCTTCCGCCGAGATCTGGTTTGTTCTCTCCCATAGTAGATTGTTGCTAATAGTGTCTGGCCAACGGATCTGAAGTATTTTGCTTAGACAGCTGTTAATAAACACTTGTATCTTCTGGATGATGGCTTTCGTACTCCTCCAGGTTTCCACCCCATACAGTAGAACTGCCTTAACATTTGTATTGAAAATTCTGACCTTGGTGTTGGTGCACAGACAAATGTTTTGAGTTCCAGATGTTCTTCAATTGTAAATATGCTGCTCTTGTTTTTCCGATCTGCGCCTTCACATCTGCATCAGATCCACCGTGTTCATCAATGATACTGCCCAGATATGTAAAGGTTTTTACATCTTCCAAATCTGATCATTTAGTATACTGAAATTTACAACTGATTAATCATTTGATAATGACTAATGTTATTTTTATCTAGTCTTTTAGTGTCAATAGAATTTCATTTATTAAGTTGCAATATGGTCACTAGTCTAAGTTACTCTACATCGGGTGAATTATATTGAGACGCTAGATGGTTGGAGGTATTGATTAGATTGAATTGAACCTAAATTCTATACTAGTTAATATTTGTTAATGAGATGTACCTGCACTCTTGAAGTAACCATTATTCCCTACGAAATTCAACCTTATTATATAGTGACTTTTATATAGTATTAAGAGAATTTATATAAGGAATATGAATGTTTAACATTATTTATTCTTTAACTTAATCATATTTGTTTTTAGGTCCATCTCCTCCATTCAATATTCAAGTCTATTGGAAAACACAGTATATTTTAACAATTGAATGGAATCTACCAAAAGATAGAGAAAATATAGCTTATTTCATTATTTATTATGCAAAACAAAATAATCCAAAATTATGGCATAAATATTTTGTAAAAGATTTGAAAACAACAAAAGATTTAGTAAGTAACAAATTTAGGGTGATCAATATTGAATAGAAATTTATGTTAATGTTTACTTGTTAATTCTGGTTAGCGTTTTTTTTAGACAGTTAGTTTTCTACGGGATGGGGTCGCTAACCTCATGCCCAACCCTCCACCTTTACCCGGGCTTGGGACCGGCAGTAACTCTAGAAGAGCTACAGGCCTTCCTATCACATACACATGAACAAATGCAGATAAAGACAGCCAGTGTAGCCGCAGTCTCTGTATCAGTAGGCCTCAGCATACACAAGGGGAAAACCAAGGTCCTCAAATTCAAAACGAAGAACAGCAATCCAATCACTCTTGATGGCGAAACTCTAGAAGATGTAGAATCCTTCACATACTTGCCAAGCATCATCGATGAACAAGGAGGTTCAGATGCAGACATAAAGGCGAGGATTGGCAAAGCAAGAGCCGCATTCCTACAACTGAAGAACATATGGAACTCAAAACAACTTTCAACCAATATCAAAGTGAGAATCTTCAATACGAATATCAAGGCAGTTCTACTGTACGGAGCTGAAACTTGGAGAACTAGTACAACCATCATCAAACATGTACAGGTATTTATAAATAGTTGTCTAAGCAAGATAATCAACATCCATTGGCCGGATACCATCAGCAATAGCCTTCTATGGGAGAGAACAAACCAACTTCCAGCTGAAGAAGAAATTAGGAAAAGACGATGGAAATGAATAGAACATACATTACACAAATCATTAAACTGCGTCACGAGGCAAGCCCTAACTTGGAACCTTGAATGGAAGCGGAAAAGAGGAAGGCCAAAGAACACATTACGTCGGGAAATAGAAGCAGATATGAAAAGGATCAATAGGAACTGGAAAGAGCTGGAAAGGATTGCCCAGGACAGATTTGGATGGAGAATGCTGGTGAGCGGCCTATGCTCCTTCACGAGGAGTAACAGGCGTAAGTAAGTAAGTTAGTACGTCACTTGTTAGTTAACTAGTTAAACGGATAACTTTGGTTGATGCAAGATATATTCAATGAAATAATGCACTGTGAATAGTTCTTACCTAGTATAATCGTAACTTTTAGAAGTATTCTATAAAAATGAGGTTGATTTGAATCCCACAAGAAGTTTCAGTTCTTTCGACACTAAATATATGAGTTATTGATGGTTGACAACTAACACGACGCTTCTGACTACCTTGAGTATTGATTAGTCACTTAGACTAATGACCACATTGTAATTTATGTCAATACTGAATAGACATGAATAATGTTTGTTTATATTTAGTAATCAACTAGCGTAAACGTTCATTTGTAACCTTGATAACCTTAGTTGATATTTGATCTTGATATCTAGTCAGAATTATAAAGTACCTAAAAAAAATACTATCCTTAATATTAACAGATTTTCATTCAAGCTAAAAACTTTGAACCAAACAAGTAGAGATTCACATTCATGATAAGTCTATATTATTATTGAAATATTTGTCAAAAGAGACGATAAATTTGATATACTAACTTCTAAGAATATACAAATACAAATAATTCCACTTCCTATTTAAACTTTATATCATTTTTATGAGCGAAGATGGATAGTGGCTAGCAGTAGAATCTAGGAGGTACATTCCATCCTATTCGGGACTCGTCAGCTGGATGTACCTGCATCTTAGAATTAATGTTCACTCTGCGACAAAAACCCACTACCATTCGCTTCAAACGTCATCACGTTATCCACTTAGCTACTGAGTTCTGATAGCCACCTACTTGTGCTATGGAGTGAAGTTTAAATTCATTTGGTGTTGTTTACTTGTATCTTCCTATTGTTATTTAAAACTACAATTGATCAGTCTCTTGTTGGCATATGTGCATCCTATGCGGATTGCCTCCATATTGCCTTAGGTCAGCAAAGATGAATAGTAGCTAGCAGTGGAATCCAAGATATGCGTTTCATCTGAGATACAAATACATCCAGCTGACGACTCCCAAATAGGACAAAACACGCGTCCTGTATTCCACTGCTAGCTACAATCCAACTTTGCTTATAATACTTGTGAATTTATGTAATATCGAGGCAATACGCACAGTATACACATATGCGACCAAGAGACTGATCAATTGCAGTCCTAAATAACAATCGGAAGATACAAGTAAACAACACCAAATGAATTTATACCATTTTTATATACATATATCATAAAGATTTAATATAAGCTGACCAAAAACAACAATTTAACCCAAAGCTTATCCACACAACTACCGATTATTGAGAGTTCATATTAGTAAATTGATTCTTTCAATAAAATAATCATACATTCTAACCTATTTACTATGATTATATATATATATATATATATATATATATATATTACTTGAATAATCACTAAACTAACAACACAAATCTCTTTATGACGTCAATGATATCAAATTGTAAATCTCATTTTCATATCTCCATCTATTACATAATATAATAAGTCATGTTAAAGGCTATAAGTTCATTTTATTTTTCTTTCACCCAAACATTATGACGTATGAAATGACGAAATCAAAAAAAAAGAAAAAAGAAAAAAAGAAAAAGAAAAATCAAGTCATTCATCTAAACAAATCACAATAAGTATACAAAGTATATTCATCATCTTTAAAAAAAGGAAAAGAAAAGAAAAGAAAAGAAGAACGAAATAGGAACAAGAGACCAGTTTATTTGTTAAATAGTTGGTTAAAATAAAATCAAAAATGTTCAATACGTATATATGGAGGGAAAACACTTTTGTTGTTGTTGTCATTATGAGAGTAACTGTTATCCATGATGAAAATTTTACATTCTAAACAGTGATTCATATATAATGATAAATATTTACTGAAACTAATATTGTAAAGAGATTTGAAACGTATAATGCTATTTTATATGTTGATAATATGGTTTAGAGTTATGTAATATGTAATATTTATTCTATTCTTTAAGGCAGAGAATGAATGAAATAAAACTTATTTAAGCTAAATCACTTAATATTTCACTGATTGAAATCATGAGTCAATTAAAGCTAGACCACCATGGAAAACCTGGAAGCACTAGACGGCCGTTTCGTCCTAGTATGGGATTCCTCAGCAGAGCGCATCCACGATCCCGTACCCCGCGAGATTCAAACCCAGGACCTACCAGTCTCGCGCCAGGCGCTTAACTAACTAGTCCACTGAGATGGCATTCAACGGTGTTAATGTCTAACTTCAACCAATCCACGAAGTTGCACCACCGTACACCATCGTCTTCAGTGAGTTCCTATCTCATAACAGACCTGGTTGAACTCCACTGGTAACGACTTCTCACTAGAAATCCAGGAAATACCTCTTGGAGACCGTCACTAATGAGCAGATGATGATTATAATCGGAGAGGGGTTTTGTGGAGATTTCTAGAAATTTCACTGGTCGAAATCATGAGTAAATTGAAGCTAGACCATCATGGAAAACCTGGAAGCACTGGACGGCTGTTTCGTCCTAGTATGGGACTCTTCAGCAGTGCGCATTCACGATCCCCCGCGAGATTCGAACCCAGGACCTATCAGTCTCGCGACAGGCGCTTAACCAACTAAACCACTGAGCCGACATATATACCGAGTATAGACAGCATAACAGCATTCTCTATTCAACTCTGTCCTCGGCAATACTTTTCAGTTGTTCTCAGTTGCTATTCATCATTTTTATGTTGGTTTCCGATTCTTGATGTAGTGTGTTCTGTGGCTTTGTTCACTTGCATTGCCCTTTAGGATCCCAAGTTAGGATTTGCTTCATGATGTAATTTGATTAATATCATAATGTATGTTCTGTTCATTTCCAATGTCTTTTCCTAATTTCCTCTTCAGTTCGTGGCTGGAATGTTCACTCACACAGTAGGCTGTTGCTGATGGTATCTGACCAATGGACATTGAGTATCTTACATAGATAATGGTTTATAAATACTTGTAGTTTTTTTTATGATAGTTGTTGTGGTTCTCCACGTTTCAGCTCGGTACTGTAGAACTATATTGATGTTCGTATTGAAGTAATATAACTATTTTCAGTTTTATGGAAGGTTATTTATGAACTGAATTGCTCAAGAGTAATCTTAATCCGTAAGGAGTACATGTACGCCTTATTGATGTGTTTTAACTAACAAGAAACCTAGATAAAGCAGGGTATTTTGATGACTACCTTTGACTACCTAATATACAAAGAATGAAGATCTGGCAGTATGGGGTTGTGGAGACTGTTGGATTTTATTCAAATAATCACTGAAAGCCTGGAAGAAATGGAAGATCGTTTTGGTCTTGTATGGGTCTCATCAGCAGTGCACTCCAACGACCTCGCAACTGGAAATCAAACATTAGACTTCTGCCTTCGTGTCTAAACGTCTAAACTCTGAACCGCTGACATGGGGTCCAACGCTGTATAAATCTAATTTCAATCAGTCTTTGGTATTGCGTGACTATTTTCCATTGATTTCAGTAGATGACTACTTAACACCCTACATGATTGAATTCCATCGGTCACCGCTTCTCACTAGAACTCTAGAAATTACTAGTGAATGATGTTTAAAAGTCTGATTAGTAAAAATTTTGATTTGAGGCTTGCTACTGATAACCATTCAGAAAATTTTAATTAACTTCAGTTTGACAACTAAATTAGTGCCTTCTGAAAGCAAATCGACCGCTGAAGAATGAAACTGAGGCAGTTTTCTCACCATTGAAACTATAATCAGTATTTTGAGAAAAGTGTGTGTTAGAGCAACAAAGAAGTGATACTCCCTGTTGGATACAGGCTCACATGAACCAACCCTAAAAAAAGGGAGGCTACCACTAACCTATTCAAGCAGCAACTGACCCCTTGTTAGACTTGGATATTTACAGTTGACTGATCAATGAGTAGTAACTGATGTCATGTTTGTCTACCCTTTGAAAGATGGTCGAATTCTATTGATTTATTGAGCCATTATAATTTGAAAATTTACTATGTTGAAACAATTCTGAACATACTTATCATCATTATGAGAACTTAACATTTATATTGTGTTTCTCAGGACAATAATTAAGCTTCTCACATGTAAACTACATTGTTATCAAAAATGACAACTACTGATCTCATTGAACTTATGGACCAATCTAAGTTAGACCACTTGTAGGCACTGGACGGCCATTTTTCCTAAGTGCAAGACTTCTCAGCGGTGCACATCCACGACTATGCAAACGAGAATCGAATCCAGGATATTTGAACAATAAACCTCTTTACCATAGAGACGGGATCCAATGGTGCCTATGTTTAACTTCAATCAATCTTACTGATCTAATTATAACCTTTTTTGTGACAAAACGTAACTCCACTTTATTTATTTCTTTGTTCAATAGTTTTTGTCTTCACAAATATTTTTAAAAATTATTTTAGGGTAATTTAAGTCCAGATGATGAGTATTTAATTCGTTTAAGTTCAGTTGACTTAAATGGGAATGAAGGTGAATTATCAGATATCATTAATACTAATTCTTATCAACATTCAACAATCAATGACAATAGTAATGGTAATATCAATAATAATAATGATAATGATATGAACAATAAACGAAATCATAATTTTATATTCATGGATATACCTGATCAACCAGAGAAATTTACTGTACAAAATTTTAAATGTATACATAGAACAATGAATACAATTACAATTGAATGGTTACCTCCAATACATTTAGCTAATCTACTTGAATATCAGGTAAGTTATTGTTTAAACAAAGACTGAGATCTGTATTCATTTATCACGTTGAACATAGGATATTCTGAATTTTACAAACGATATAATCTATAAGCAATAATGGATAGTAGCTAGCAGTAATATATAAGACGCGCATTTCATCCTATTTGGAACTCTTTAGTTGAATGTACCTATATCTCATAGTTGACGTTCACTCTGGGACTCGAATGCAGTACAGTTGGTTTTAAACGCCATCACGTTATTCACTTACTTACTGAGTCCTGACAGCCAACTGCCTGTGGGGAAGTTTTAAACTCTCTTGGTGTTGTTTACTTGTATCTTCCCATTGTTTTTCCATTGCTAGCCACTATCCATCTTTGCTTATAAAGCTTGTAACCTAAGGCAATAAAGAGGCGATCCACACAGGATGCACAGATGCCAACAAGAGACTGATCAATTACAGTCCTAAATAACAATCGGAAGATACAAGTAACAACACCAAGTCAAGTTAATTTATTTTTTGTAAATAAAATCATCATATATGGTTAATTTTCTTTATGAACTACTATTAAAAACCAGAGGAACACTGAACAACGATTCATTCAAGTGTCAAACTCCTTACTTGGTCGGACATATGACTCTATATATATATATATTTATATAATCTAATCAAGAAGTTTCAGCTTATATAATGAGGGTGATAATTTTAAAGTAGTGAATGATTTTGACGACGCTCTCATAGGCTTTGGTCGCCAATTTTCTAGACGTCCACTTATTGTCAGAAGTTGTTTAGTTTCAGGCATATTTTCATTAACTAGTTACATCTGTTAACTGCTTGTAATTAAACTTTTTCATTAGAATGGTTATAACTTATAGAGAATTGAATTACTGAAAAACTCAAGTCATACTATCATAATGGTTTGTTTATTTTCATGCTCAATTATTTTTAGAGAAATGGGAAACAATTATTATGGGATTTATACATTGAATGTATATTCAACAATGAAAGTAGACATTATTGAAGCATGATAAATGCTAAACATTTACAGATAAATATGAATACCAGCTTCCTACTATTCAGAATCTTCTTATACATTTTTTTATGGAAGATTCATAATGTGACTGATTAAAAGTAGGAATTTCGTCGCATCTTTACACAGATTTGTGCTCAGAACTCTGTACTGTAATCAAACATATGACAGCGAATGTAGCGAGGATCACTATTATTATTATTATTCTTGGATTTCCAATTTTCATTAATCTGTAGTATGGTAAAATCATCATATAATAATAATAATAATTATTATTATTATTATCAGAAGGGGGTTTTGTGGAGATTTTAGTAATTTCATGGTTGAACTCATGAGTCAATTGAAGCTTGACCACCATGAAAAACCTGGAAGCGCTTGACAGCCACTTCGTCCTAATATGGGACTCCTCGGTAGTACGCATCCAAGATCCTGCGTCGCGAGACTCGAACCCCGGACCTATCAGTCTCGTGAGCGAACGCTTTACTTCTATTTTGACCATTGAGCCATCATCCAACGGTGTCAATGTCTAAATTCAACCAATCCGGAGGGCGGATCGTGTACGCGCACTTCTGAGGAGTCTAATACTAAGACGAAACGACCGTCCAGTGCTTCCAGGTTTTCCATGGTGATCTAGCTCCAACTGACTCATGAATTCGACTATAAAATTATTATTAATGGCTTTATCCAATATTATATTTTGGTACAATATAGAATTCTCAGCACGATGTATTTCAATAAGTTGTACAGAATGTATGTAATTTTAAACAAACAAAAGAAAATATGATGTGAAGATGATTGTCCATATTGTGTATGATTATTCCAGTTCATTATCACGTTTCTGCTAAGACACATTCATGTTCTGAATGATACAAGCTGTTTTGAATGTTCAAATGAAGAGTATCTTTTATTATTACAATTATCTACGTGTTTTATGATTTGGTCTATCAGTGAATTGTTGAAAATCCACTGTCAATTTTTCCTTTAAAATATACTACTGATTAATGTGTCTTAAGCGTATATATTGATCTCACGAAATAAGTATCAAAAAATGTTATTAATATTGAGTGAAAACGCTATAAGGCTCATCAGCTAATAAATCCAATAAACCTTCTAATTGAACGCTTGATTTTGTCTCCTAAGCTCTTCTAGTAACCGTCGGGCTAAATCTATACGGCAACTTGAACACTAGAGAAAATCTGCGAAATATGAAAAGAACTCTTTACTTCGAAGTTCCTTTATGTACACAAAATCTAGGGTATTTATAGCATTTCAGATAGCCTTGGACTTCTGGAAAGCTCTCGAACCATTCTAAACATAGTAGCAGGATAGGCAACCACCCAATTAGAGACGTGACATTTGACTTTCACCTTCCAGACGTTTCTGAGAAACTCCTATCGAATACTGATTGGATAAGATGTTTCCCAGTGTTTTCAAGGCCGCACTAGGCTTTTTGCAGGGAACTTTCTGGATCTCCTTGACAAAATCAATTAAAATTTTAAATAGTTAGTTAATTTCTGATTGTTAATCGATATTCTAACCGTTTCATCCTGTATAATCCTTACTATATGTTCAATGAAGTTACTTTTACCATCGTGAGTAATAATTAAGCTTTACATTCAAATTTTAATTCTACCGGTAAATGAATGACCTATAAAATACATTATTTCATTCAAATGTACCACATCAAATCATAGTTAGTACGTAGCTGACACTGTCTCGTTACTATTAAAACTGATTTCATCTAATTAATTGAGTGTTGGTGCTAAGGAATCCCATACTAGGACGAAACGGCCGTTTAGTGCTTCCAGGTTTTCCATGGTGGTCTAGCTTCAATTGACTCATGACTTCAATCTGTGAAATTTCTAAAAACCTCCACAAACCCCTTCTGAATATTAGTGGCCAAAGTTTATTCGTTCCGATTATTTGAAAACATCATCTTGATGATGTATATAATCGAGACTTTATCATTGACAATACCTAATTGACTATTTGATCCTATAAAATACTATCAAGAAGTATGAAACTTCTTTGCAAAGTGTATAAAAATAATCGTTAATGTTTTTCTCCCTCTCTCTTTTCCTTTTCTAACTGCCTATTTTAGTTACACATATCTGGACGAAGTGAATTTATCACAAGTAGTGGTGTATTGAAATCTCTTCATTTAGGTGACATACAATTACATCGAAATATTGATAAACAAATTGATAATAATGAACCGGGATTGTTAAATTGGCCATTAGTTAATATGCTTAATAGTATGTCAGAACTGGAAGATCATCATCATCATCCACAGCAACAAACGCATAAAATGCAAATACCAAATTTAAAACCAAATAGTCAATATAAAATAACTATTCGCCCAATTTATCGTGCACTTATCACAGAGGGTAATATAGGCGCTAAAGAAGGTATCCCAGTAACTATAATCTGTCATACAGAATGGAGTGGTAAGCAAATCTTCGCTATATTATTATTATTATGTTAATATTCTACTTTGAGTATTTCAATAGTATCAGCCACTTTTTCATACTCACTTAGACAATTATTCAAATATAATGCGTAAATATCACACTTTATTTATAGTATAAGACTTCAGTGACAATCTACCAAGTTGTACAATGAATTAAGTATCTTTATTGTTTTTTATTATATATTATTACTAGCTTTATTCAATATTATATTTTTGGGACAATATGGAATTTTCCTGGTCGAATTCATGAGTCGATTAAGGTTAGACCACCATGAAAACCTGGAAGCACCAGATAGCCGTTTCGTTCTAGTATGGGACTCTTCAGAAGAGCGGAACTCGAGCCCAGAGCCTTCGGTCTCGAGCGTGAACGCCTAACTTCTATCTTGACCACTGAACCGGCATCCAATGGTATTAATGTCTAACCTCAACCGATCTACAATAGGATGAAACAGCAGTCCAATGCTTCCAGTTTTCTAATGTTAGTCTAACATCAATCAGTTCATGATTTCAATCAAAAACTTAATCATCTCCATAACCCCATATTGATAATAGGCGTTTCAGTTATCTTAGAGACTATCATTAGTAAAGTAATTTTATTGAAATTATGTGAAAAAAAGAAGCATTAATGGAATGTTTATCTTAGAACAACTAAATAGCGCAAAAATGGTGTATAATAACACAGATACATTTGTATATATAAAGATTTCTAAAATAAACCATTTGTTTTATTGTATATTATTATGATTATTAGATTGGCAAAATGCATTGAATGATTCACCTTAGATTGAATAAACAAAATTGATTACAGAATAATTATAATATAATATACATACTTCATTCTTTTTCAATCATAGATTTATATTCGTAGTTGAAATCATGAACTGATCTTAGTTGGTTGTTTCGCCCTATTATGCATATCCATGACTCTGTATCTAATAATCGGATCCAAAACCTATGGTCTCGTGCATGAACACTTAACCTCTAGATCAATGGTTAATATGTCTAAATTCAGTTAGTTAACGTTACAGCACAACCGACATCCACTGTCAGTTAGAGTTAATTGTTTCACATATGACAGATTTATATGTAATCACAAGTACCGCTTGTTCGACTAAATAAATGCAACATTACAATTCAGAATAAAACCATTATCATAATCAGTAATAGATCCATTTCTTAGATTTAGTTAATGATATTAAGTTTTTAGAGGTAGTTTATAAGAAACTATATGCTTGTTAATATTCGTCAACAAGCGAACTGATGCTTTGTGATGGATTCAAGTTAAAGTCACTCAGTTTCACAGTCTCGCATGTTTCCACTTAACTGTTCGGGTCATGACTGTTCTAATGATGAAACTAAATAGCGTATTACTTTACTATTTTAAGTAACAGTTTCTATCTAGACTGTAATAACTGGTAATGAACTAATGTCAATCAATTTTATAATGATTGATTGTATTTCAAATATATTAATTTACATGTTAAGTAGAGATTTAAAAATGCTCTGGCACGGCTTAGAGTGGGGGAGTCAGCTCTCCCTCTCGAACTGCTCTCACATGACAATGTGCATACAACCACTGCCAGGGAAATCTTACTCACTGCCTTCTCGCACCACGGATGTTGTTTACCAAGTTAAGAGGACGAAAAAGGAATGTCCAGTGCTTTTGCCGGGTTGGTGGATACGGAGGATTCACCTCGGGGAGTTGGAAAACCTTGATCCCAAACCAATGGTGCACATGAGCTCCAAGATCCTGAGGAAACAAATAGTGTATGAACCTATTGTTGGTCGCCAGATACCACGTTGTTCCACTGCCCTGTGGATTGGACCTTTAGGTTGAAGGCTCGGAGTATGGCCCCTTAACAAAAAACCACCTGCTTCGGTTTTGGCACCTGGGCAGTATCCTAGCCCACACATAAACCAAATGATTTGTGTGGTGCATATTTATTTGGTGCTTCCTTGTATCAATGTTTATGTATTTAAATAAATAGTTATGTTAACTATTGGAGAATTAATGACACAAGTTAACTCCCAGGGTGTTGAAAGAGGTGGAATGGAGTTCAAAATGACGACTTCAATATTATAAAGTATCCTTTATTCATCAAGTCATTACTTCACTACTGATATTTACTTCAGCTATGAAATATCTCCATTTCGAAATTTGATTGACATAAAACTATAAACTAGATGCTAAAACTTATCACTAATGTTGTTGTACAACATAACAATTTAGAATCAGCTAGTGGATCTCAATTCATTAAGCTAGATGGTGTTATTATTCAGTTGTTCACAGATATAGTAAAAAATACACCAAGCATTTTCAAAGAATATTATCCCTAAGAGGTTACTATTCTTATATTGTATTATATAAAATTATTTTTGAGTGCTTTTTGTTTGGGAAAAAAAAACTTGCAATTCCTCTTTTCTTTCTAGCACCAGAACATATAAAACAACCAGAATTACTTGCAATTTATGCAGGTCCTTCAGATCCTCAAGGACCAACTTCAATAATTGAAGTAAAATTACATCGTGTATCAGAAGAAAATGGTCCTATACATAATTATTATGTGATTATATCACCAGAATTGAATACAATAACATCAAATAAAAATATAATCAATAATATTCCATTGAAATCATCCAAATCTCCAGTTATTGATCCATCTCATTATGATTTGAAAATTTTATCACAAAATAATGATTTACCAAGTAATCAAGCACCTTATTTAGCTTTAGCACGACATACAATAAATTTATTTAAACCAAATCATGAAACAGCAATCATTATATTAGGTAGTGAAGAAGTAGATAATTTTGTTTTGAAAACACAATACCACTTGGATACTATAACTAGTAGAAATCAAACTTATGATAGAAATTTAAAGAAAACACCTAATCTAGAATCATATTTTCATGATGATATATCAGATATACATGAAGATGATAATCATATCAGTAAAAATAATGAGAACAAACCTTATTATCATAATTTTAATAGTAATATGTTTATGAACACTATACAAGTAAATAATAAACGTCTTTATCAATCCACTATATATCGTGTTGCTTTGAGAGCATGTTCACAGGTAAGTAAATGGTATAAACAATCTGTTCCATGGATACTATATTTCAGTAGTAAATTGTTTCAAACATAAATTTTGATGTTATATCAGATATGAACTAATTTTAAAACAATTACCAAATCAAGAAAGGTGTGTAACTTCTTATGACTAGTATACTAGTAGCATAATGGAGAAGTTGACAAACGTTTCATAATATGGCTTCATGAACACCAAGTATTAACATCTTAATGGTTTTAATCTCAGGACAAATTTAAATAAACGATTTCTTCATTTAAATAGTCAAGAAGCGAGTTTATCAAAGAAACTGCTAGTATAAGATTTGGTCCTTCCTTATTTCTTCTTCATTTCTTTATAAGGTTTTGTGTAGTCTATTAAATTTTCATAGTTTTAATAACGGATTCATTTACTTAGATAATTATTAGAAACCACGATACACTGAATAGCTATTTCGTTTTAGGATGCAACTCTCAGTAACTCTATTTTAATGAATTGGCGAATAGCGATACATTCACAAACGTTGTTGATAGATGATAGAAAGTGAACGAGCAAATTAAATAATTCGGTATATGAATCATAGTTATATTCTTATTTAAGATTTCTTTCATTCGGTTATCTTTAAATCTGAAACAATCTGGTTCATAAATGATTTTGGCTGAATACTAACGACGACGTTATTTTAAAAAGTCAATGTGAAGGGTTTGACGCATTCAGAATGGGTAACCAGAGGTGACAACATTTTAAAATACATTACTATTATTATTATGATCATAGAATTCATAAATCGTGTAAGTGTAAGGTGTATATTGTCATAACTTGTGGCCTTGTGCCCTATTAATATAAAATGTAATGATATCACCAATTAGAGAACAGTGATTTATCGACCAGACCAATGACACGTAAACCCGTACGACCAGTTTAGAGTCCTTATCGGTTCTTCTTCCTGCCTAACCCTGCCTGTTAGAGTCCAAAACACCAATCTCAACCTCTGCCACATAAATCATGTATTTCAAACGTACTGGGTTAATATACAAAACCAAACAGACCACACCATACCATAAAATAGAAAATAACATTTGTACAAGATCTAGTCAAGAAGTGGCTCTGAATGTACGATACTGTAATTAATAGACTGGACATAACTCAAGAATGGTAAATCGTATAATAATAGTCTATCGGTCAAAATAAAGCTTATAATAAGAGAAATATGAATATGCATAGTTTAGCTACTTAAAATTATACAACAAATAGATACATATCGTATTGGTTCATAAATAGTTCTCGAAAGTTACCATTCATAATTCTCGTTGGATTATAACACATAATTATTAAGTGATATATACAAAAACGCAGTTCAATTTACCATGGAGATGGGATATAGTGTCATTTGTATTTGAAAATAATAGATGTTACCACCTTTCCGATGAAATGTACAATAAATAGTTCAATTGATTGATTTGAATTTGATTCTTTTTTTCTCATCACTTTTATCGTAAACAATGATTATTTATAACTGTCTAGATTCAATAGTTTGTTGATTTTATCACAGATGATCAATGATGAACATAAAACTGTCCTTTCATTATATTCTGCTTTTTTATTCCAAGTAATCATTGGTAACACAACTGATATAAGATTAGACGATAATATTTCACTTTGTCTCATATAATCGAATACTCATGAATTCAACTATTAAATTACTATAATATCCAAAAAACCTCTCTCTGATTATAATCATCATATGCTCACAAGTGACTGTCTCCAAGAGGTATTTCCTAGAGTTCTAATGAGAAGCTGTGACCAGTGGAGCCAAACCGTGTCTGTCTTGAGGTAGTGACTCATTGAAGACTATGGTGGACAGTCGCATAATGTCGTAGATTGACTGAAGTTAGCCATTAACGCCATTAGATGACGGCTCAGAGGTTAAGCGTTCTCATGAGAGACCAATATGTCCTAAGTGAGATCGTGGATGCGCACAACTAAGGAGTCCCATAATAAGACGAAACGACCATCCATTGTTTCCAAGTTTTCCATAATGGTCTAGCTTCAAGTAACTCATGAATTCAACTATTAAATAACAGAATACTATTAAAATATCTCAGTGATAATGTTCTGATTTATTATAGATTCATATTTAGTGGAAATAAAAACTTCAATATTTTAAAAGTTTATCAATATCAGTATCATTATCTATCTATCTATCTATCTATCTATCTATCTATCTATCTATCTATCTATCTATCTATCTATCTATCTATCCTGTAGTAAGCCCATTCAACCATTGTATCATTTATCTGCTCACTGTAATTTAGACACTTAATCCACTATATATATATATATATATATATATATATATATATATATATATATATATCGATTTTTAACACACACATATATATACACTTAGTTTCCTTTTGTACTTGCTTCTTGATTTTATCAATCTTTAACAATAAACAATCTCTCTATAACTGGTGTTGTTCAGGCTTTTGAATAATATCGAATAATTCTATAGTTCCACTAAAAGATTTAGCCTTCAATTATTATTCAATTAACGGGATACTATTTATAGAAGTCACATATAGTAGAAAGTAGTTTCTACTATTCCATATGATGAAAGGGGAAATAAATTGTTACATTGATTGTTTCAATATCATAAAATAAATTTATTCTAAGTTCAACAGTTGAGATCATGAGTCAATTGAAGCTAGACCACCATGGAAAACCTGGAAGCACTGGATGGCCATTTCGTCCTATCGTGGGACTTCTCAGCAGTGCGTATGCACGACCCCGCTTTGAGGGGGTCCAACTCAGGACCTATCAGTGTTCCAGGTTTCCCATGATGGTCTGGCTTCAGTGGTCTAGTTGGTTAGGCGCCTGGCGCGAGACTGTTAGGTCCTGGGTCCGAATCCCACGAGTTGGGGTCGTGGATGCGCACTGTTGACGAGTCCCACAATAGGACGAAATAGCCAACCATTACTTCCAAATTTTCTATCGCGGTCTAGCTTCAAATGATCATGATCTCAACTGTTGAAATTACTGCAATCTCCACAAAACCCCTTCTAATACAAATTCATTCTAAATTTTTTTTTGTATAATTTGATTTATTTGTCATATACTATCATCACACTTACTATTATCTTTCATTCCATTTATTTAATATTTTACTGTTAACATAAATAGAAAGGTGAAAAATACATTAAAACAAAAAAGACAATTTGTTATGTCTAAAAAAAAGAAAAAAATTATTGTTGTTGTTGTTGCTTGTTTCATAAATGAAGACAAAAGAGAATAAAATCTGTTGTCATGTTGTCTATCTATTATCATTCATAATCAATAGTCCATATCAGTAAAATGTTTCACTTTCTTTCTTTCTTTATTTTAAATTTATTATTCTGTGACAAATTTGTTTTGTTTTTCTTTCTTTCTTTTTTCTTTTCTTTATCTTGCCTGATAAAGTAACTGACGTGTTCAAAATAAGATTTTTGTTTCTATGATAAAAATAAACTAGGTGAAATGGATGACTTTTTTATTATTTTAGTACATTCTATGTAATATCAGAAGCGGGTGTTTTTTGTGTGTAGATGTTATAGTAATTTTTAAGAGTTGTTGAGATCATGAGCCGTTTGAAACTAGACCGCGATAGAAAGTCTGGAAGTTATGGATGACTATTTCGTCCTATTGTGGGACTCCCCAGCAGTGTGTATCCAGGATAACGGCCTCGCAAGATTTGAACCCAGGATTTATCAGTCTTGCGCGTGAACTCTAAAGTTGATCAATAATTGTAATATTTACAAACGATATTGGTTTAACTAAACTGCTTTACATTTCATCAATGATCAGTTTAGTGGTTAAACTATATTTTTCTTTGATTTGAAGAAATAAAGCTAATTTTTAAATGTTAAAATTGTACATGTTAGTTCAACGAATCATTACTTTTCATGATTAAGATTAGAATTGTAAACCATCGAATCTGAAAATTATGATCAAGTTTTGTTCTCTGAGCTGGATGGTTTGATCGTGGAGCTTTCATCGTTCTTCTGAACGACATCAACAGCACAAACTTCAAATAGAAGTGAAGCGTTCGAACTTATCTATATGTGGTTCACAGCTTGTCCTGTAGACCACGATGATCCACGACCAGACCATCCAACTCAGAGAACAAAAAATCCATTAAAATCATCCACCTGCGCCACAAATATTCTCCACCATCTCAAAATCTGAAAATTAATCATTTGACATGTTAGATCACCATTGAAAACTTAGAAGTACTGGATAGCTATTTTTCCCTAGTATGTGACTCTTTAGCAGTGCAAACTCACAATCCCACATATGAAAATCAAACTCAGGACCATCAATCTCTTTCACGAACACCTAACTTCTAGACTTGACTCCAGGAGTCTTTTCAAGAAGCCATAACTAGTGGAGTTCAACCAAGTCTGTTGTGAGAGATAGTAACTCACTGAAGGCAATAGTAGACGGTGGAACAATTTCCTTTTCTTTCTGAAAATTAAACTCCCTTTATAAATAACAATTCAAAACTCTCATAGATTTTTTTATTGTTTGGATACATCTAATATTATTTCACTTTTTTTGCTTTAAAACTACTTTTAAGATAATTAAACCTTACACACGTAACAACAATCACACAAACATAAACACACACACACACTTATATAAAAATACATACAACCATAATAGTTATAGTTAACAGTTATGATTAGTAATATATAAACTAATCTAATGTATAGTTATCATAAACAAGATATACATTATTTGAAATACTATCCATTTACTATGTCTTCATTTATATAAACAAAATCAAGACAAGAATTTCTAATATTCTTTATAATATAAACAGATATATATATGTTTATCATTCAAATGGGATTCTATCATTACTTCTTCTAGTACGTCTTCTAGTACAAAACGTTATTTATTTTGTTGTGTCTCTTTTTCTTTCTGTTGTTGTTGTTGTCGTTGTTGTTGATCTTTTGCCTGATGAAATCTGTATAGATGAAGATAAGTAGACTATGTAGTGAATAGTTAGAGTTGTTAAATGTTTAAACGTTTTTTTCTCCATGACTATTATTTACTAGATAATGATTAAACTATCTATGCTAAACATCAATGGGAAGCATTCAGGTAAAAAAAATACCAAGTGAGTTAAACTTTATCCCATTGCACATGCAAGTGGCTATCGTGACTCAGTGGCTAAGTGGATAACGTGATGACGTTTTAAGCGAATAGTACTGGGTTAGAGTCCTAGAGTGAACATTAACTCTGAGGTGAAGGTACATCTAGCTGACGAGTACCAAATAGGACTAAACGAGCGTCAAATTAGATTCCACTGCTAGCCACTATCCATCCTTGCGTATAATGCTTGTGAATTAAGGCAATATCGAGGTAACACGCGCAGTATGCACATATGTCAATAAGCAACTGATCCATTCCAGTCCGAAACATCAATGGGAAGATTCAAGTAAAACAATACCAAGTGAATTAAATTGATTAATGTTCATTGTGAAACTACTTATTGAATATATAAGTAGTCTGTTTAATAATGAAATGAATACAGAAAAAAAGGTTATATTTTCTTTGATGTATACAAATATTTAATTATAATATATCTTTGTAGTCATTGTCAGTTATTGTTAAAATAAATAAAATTTCAAATTATATTATATAAACTCAGTTGACTGATTGATTCATAAGTGAGCACATTGTAAGTTGACTAATCTAATATGTGCATATAATTGGAAGAAATGAAGAACAGATAGATGATGTCTAACATTAGAATCCATGACTCGTCAGCTGAATATACCTCCATTGCAACATTGATGTTTACTCCAGGATTCAAACCCGGTATCGTTCGTTTCTAATATCTACCTGATCAAAATAGTTGAACAGGATTAATAAATATGATCAGCTTTTTTCGATTTTGTATTATTTTATCAAAAGTATCAATACCATTAAGGAAATGGATGTTCAATGGGAATTCACTTGGTAACTGTGATATGTTTCTTTTTTTTCCCCATCTAAATAGCTGATTATTTGAAAAGTATCTTGTTATAAAATAACTTTCTAAACGTATATTTAATGTGTGCTTAACTACATGAAACGATTCATTTACTGACCAGTAATTCAGTCTTTTAATATCTAGTTAGGATATACTACGTTACTGATCCCCAATTCTGTGAATATTCACCCCTTAGAAACGCTATACATTAAGTATTTTATTATTAGTAGGACTTAGTCATTGTACATTAGTGTTGAAAATGATGTCTAGTTCTAACAGATTGGTTAAGTGAAATGTAAACACCTTAATTTCCATTTCATTAGGTAGCTTCCGTTGATTACTGATATCGACCGAAAAACTACTGAAATTTCAGAAGTAGCTAACAACTATTTCAGATTTTTTGATGCTATTCATAAATGAGCACCGTCGATTCTTGATAATTCTATATTAGGGTTCCAATTTCTCAAGGCGGTCATGAAAACTTTAAAATCGTGTGTTGTGATGCCAGATATTTGGAAGTGATCGATATAAAAACAACAAGAAGTGTCAGGTTCCTCAAGATTAATGGTGCACTTGATTGACATGAAAAAAAGTTTTCCTGATGAATACTTGGAACTAAATAGTATCAAAACACTTTCTGAGCATGCTTCTCTATATGCCCTGTCTCTAGTTCAAAAGTCAGCGACCACCATCTATTTCAAAGAGATATAGTTTGTATATAGACATACCGGACTTCAAAACATACTAAAAATAATACCTTTACATAAACGAGACAAAAGAGGTGGTAAATCGGCGAAGTTTTCAGTTAAAGATTGGCGACAAAAAGGAATTGTATGTAGTACAATAACAGTTAATATTTTAAATGAAAGCTTATGACAAACAGAATATAAACACATGGTTAACCAGTTAATTAGTAATTACACAAAAAATATATAAGCAGTTGTGATTCAAAAAGAAGTTTAGAAAGTCTCAACTTTCACAATGTCTTCATAATATAACGTCAATAACTATTGTTTACTCAATTAAGTACTAAATTACGTATACTGAAATTATTGAATGCAAACCCATTTTGGTGATAGTCTTTCACATTTTACTTTTAGCTACTCATAAAATTATGAGTAGTTTGTCTTTTATTTAAAAAATTCTAGGTCAAGAGTGAAAAAATAGATTACTCACTGAGAGATTTTTCATATCATCAAAGAAAAACACAATGAATTGATCTCTGAATGTTGACTAAATTGTTTTCATTTATTTTAGTATCCTAATGGCTATCAGTTATGTTCCACAAGTCAGTGGTCCGATAGAATATCACCTATAAATCCAATTAAATCTAATACACTATCAAAGTTGAAATCATTGAAAGACAAAATAAATGAATGGAATTTACACGAATCATCATCTTCATTTGCAATAATTTTAACAGGTCTATCTAGTGGTTTAATATTTTTTGCCATATTAAGTACTATACTTGGTTGTATATTAAGACGTAGAAAACAACAACTCAGCAGAAGATCTTTACTTGAATCAAACAATAATAATTTAGATGTACAAATATACAGAGATCTTAGTAAATCAATGTTTGGTGAAAATTTATCAACACCATCTAATTCCAGAACTAAATGTTATTCATCAAAAACTAACAATAATAGTCTATTGAATTCACAACCATCTAGTTATTTTTTAAATTTACATAATGAAGGATCACATAGTCCATCGAATTCAAACAATGGTATACCAATTATAAATTTTCCACATCCAGGTAGTGGTGGATTAACTGTTGAAATGAGTCAAATTTCTCCATTAGCTTTATCATCTAATCAATTAACAATATCTGATCTATCACCAGTAATCACCAGATCAGTATATATGAATACAGGAAATAAATCAGAATCACCTACAAGAAGTGTGAATAGCAGTGAAGCATTAATTGGAAAAACTATCTATAATATTCATCCTAAACTTGGTACAACAAATATATTAGAGAATTTTAACCAACTTGTTCGTGATGGAACACTTGAAAGTATGTTGTTATGATTTTCAATGAAACAGTTTACTTCATATTTATGTTTTCTTATAATGATGAAATGATTTAAAACTTATTCAATTGTTTAATTTAAAAAAATTTTATAAGAAAAAATGGTTAGAGATTGAAAACGGTACGCTCAATAAGTTAAAACAACAACAACAACAACAACAACAACAACAACAAAAAACTGGTTATTTAGCGTAAAACGTGTATTTAGCGCTTCAAATTGTTTATTTCTCAAGTTTTTTAAAGATTATTCAAGTATATTATGTAACTATTTAGATAAGATGGTGGTTGGAGGTAGTCGACAGGAAACCCTGGACCCGGGTTTCGTACTACTTGGCACTTGTCAGCAAGGTGTACTTGTAATCTTGAGGGAACTGGTGCTCCCTGGCAGACTCGATCTCTTGTCACCCACCTTCATAGTCAGAGACGTTACCACTGAGCTATCCGAGCCGCGACCGACCCCCTGTAGGACTGAGGTGTAATCACAATTGATTGATCACTGGGTGGCGATCAATGTCATGCGTGTCTAGTCTTTATTAGTGCATATCGAATGCTATTTATTATTTTCAATAGCCTGTAAAGTCTGATAAATCAAATGTTTATAGAGAGATTTGCTTGATGCTATTTGGAAATCATCGGAAACCAGAATACATTGGAGATCTATTTTCTCCTGAATTCTGAGTCTCACTTTTGGCTGAAGTTTATTTTGGATTAATTTAAGTTGGAACTTTGGATTACTAGGTACTATTTATTTATTTATTTATTTAAACACAAGAATGTTGATATAAAGAGGCATTGAATGCATATGCGCCACACGTCTCACTTGATTTGTATGTGGGCTCTGATACTGTCCGAATGCTCAAATCGAAGCAGGTGGTTTTCTTAGAGGGCCATACCCAGAGCCTTCAACCTAAAGGTCTAATCCACAAGGCAGTGGAACAACGTAAGAAGATGCAGTTCCATGGTGTCTGGTGACCAACAACAGGCCCATACACCATTTGTTTCCTCAGGATCTTGGAGCTCATGTGCACCATTGGTTTGGGATCAAGGTTTTCCAATCCCACCAGGTAAACTCCGTGTTCACCAACCTGGTAAAAGCGCCGGACATCGGATTTTCGTTCTCTCAGTTTCATAAACAACAATAATGCCTCTTTTAGCCAGTGAGTAGGACTTATGTGGCAGTGATTGCATGTACGTGGCCATTTGAAAGCATTTCGAGAAGGAGAGCTGACCCTCCCCACCCTCTACTGTACCAGGGCATTTAGGGGCATAATCTAGAAGTTAAAAGTCTTTCAGTGTTTAAAAATATATGAGATGATCTTGACAGAACTAAACCATGAAACTAAGAATTCAAGAAAAGCTTCGTTGAATTTATTTCGAGTACATTTTATTGTCCTGAAACTATTTCGATAAGATTTTGACGATTGCTGTTTATTGATTATTTAAATATGTTTTTATTTACTTGACATCAGTAAATTTGGACGTAAAACAATATATCTCTTGAAATAAACTAGTGACTGACAACTTACAACCCTCTATTTTGTTTTAGGTAGATAATGAATGGAAAGTAGATTAAATAACTGCTGATTAGTTCCTTTTTTTAACCTAACATGATAATTACTTACGATATATTCAAAGATTAAGTGCTATCCAAAGTAAACACCAATGCTAAAGATAACTACAATTAAATGAACATATTTTATCTTCCTACACGATAGGATCAGTTTTATTTACAAGTAAATCAGATGTATACGCAGATCCACATAAGAAACCTTGGGTTCTGTAGTCTCTTTACCCGATATTAATGTCTAATTAGACCTTCCCTGAAGTGATCAATAACCCATATCACACTGAAACTGAATAGTATTTTGACTAATACTATGTGTAAAAAGTGACATTCACTAGTTTATACTAATCTAACTTTTTCATCATTCAATGTATGGTTTTTCTCTGCACTAGTACCAAGATAATACAATAGATGGATTGAAGTAAGTACTTAAATCCAGGATCCATGTTTCGTCTTATTCAGGACTCATCAACAGAATTTAAATATCACATCCGAATGTATTAATGTGCACATTCTAACCTTCCTCTTCAAATGCCAACACATTATCCATTGAGCTACCCGGACCACATAGCCAGTAATCTGTTCAACGGCTATAGTTTTTTTATCATTAATAGAATTGGTTTGATTTACTTCGTGTTTAGTATCTGAAGTCGAATTAAAATAGGCTTCAGTTAATATATGTGCACTCTGTACTGATTACTTCGACATCAACGTTTTCTCACAAATCCTTTTTTTATGATGAAATTCAGACCTGTTACACATGCGACAGGATACATGAATCCGAACTTCTAAACATTTTTGTTTGATTTTTTGTCTACTTGTAAGTAGTATGAATAAATATATGAAAATATTTCCAATCATATTATCATTATACATTATTACATTTTTAGTACATCGAATGCCTATACCAGTTGAACAGTTTCAAGAAGTGATTTATCAATCAAGAAATAATAATTATATTAGTTTCCAGCAAGAATTTCAAACAATTGAACAAATCTCATCAACACGATATATCAGTGCAGTACATTCTAATTTAGACATAAATAAATCGAAAAATCGATATCCAAATATTTTAGCATATGATTGTACACGAGTTAGTATTCAATCAAATTATCAACATCATTCTAATGCACAATATGGAATAGTTTCAGGATCGGATTATATAAATGCTAATTACATTGATGGTTATAGAAAACAAAAGGCATATATAGCAACTCAAGTAAGTCATTTATTCCCGGTTACTTTATTGTCAAATGTTTAATGTTTCTAAATAACGTGTTGTTACTTTTGCCCGGTTAATTTATCACATCATAAGATCAAAAATTAGAACATGATTTACATAACCTTGACACGATGCCAAACCAATGATGCGTAAGCCAGTACAGACAGCCTAGAGTCAATTTTTGAATCCTTATTGATTATTATCACCCAGCTCTGTCCGTTTGAATCAAAATCATAGATCTCAGTTCCAACTGTACGAATCATATATTTCAGATGTATTTGGTCTATATACAAGCGAATAAGACTAAATCATACCATAAAATAGAAAATAACAGGCCAAAAGTGGCTGTGATCGTGAGAGACTGTAACTAATAAATTGGGAACAATGTAAGAGTAGTAAATCGTATAGTAATAGCCAATAGGTCAAATAAAAGCTTGTGATTAAGGAAATAGAAATGTATATAATATAGTTACTTAACAGTTATACAAGAAATATATATATATATATATATATATATATCCATAACTTAATCTTCTTTGAATCTGACAAAATATAAATTAGAAGTTTTGATAGAACTAAAAAAACTTTGACTGGCACTAATACATTGAAAGCATATTTAAGCATAGACCACTTTTGAATTGTATTCTACCACCGGTGGAATTTAGATGATCAATTTTAGAGATATTGACTAACTTGTGTTAGATCAATCTACAATTGCTGAGTGATATTTGTTCAGACTTTTAAGCTTTGATTTTATTGCTTCAATCAAGTTGGAATTCGGCAGCGGGCCTAAGCGTTTTGACATCACTTGTACTATGTTCAGATGTTGCATAGTTGAAGATGATCGGTAGGAAAACCAGTTTAACGCAAGTTACATTCTAGTTTCCACTATCCACATATGCATGTATACAGTCTTGAGCAAACTGATACTCACTTTGGATTCCCACCCACGTTATCCTCATTCACATGTTGAGGAGCTTCCAGCAAGCCGCCCGCGTTTCGACCAACTTCCAGTAGGATTGAGATATTTAAAATCTAACTTATCGTTCAGTAATAATCAGTCTTATGAAACTGTAAATACCACGTGTTCGACATCTGGAAGTATTGGTCTAAATCTTATTTGAAAGCAAGAGTTGGTACAGCTGAGAAATTCTAACAGACTATGTGAATTATCTTCGGTTCTTCGCCCAAGATGAAAATGAAATTTAAATCCCGTTGTACATCACATTATTAATTAAACTTCAACCAATCCACGAAGTTGTGCCACCGTATACCATTGTCTTCAGTGAGTTGATATCTCACAACAGACCTGGTTGAACTCCACTGGTAACGGCTTCTCACTAGAACTCCAGGAGTATCTCTTGAAGTCAGTCACTAGTGAGCAGATGATTATTATCAGAAGTGGTTTGTGGAGATTTTAGAAACTTCACAGATTGAAATCATGAGTGGATTGGTTGAAGTTAGACATTAACACCGTTGAATGCCATCTCAGTGGTCTAATTAGTCAAGCGCCTGGCGCGAGACTGGTAGGTCCTGGGTTCGGATCTCGTGGGGTGCGGGATTGTGGACGCGCACTGCTGAGGAGTCCCATACTAGGACGAGACGGCCGTTCAGTGTTTCCAGGTTTTCCATGGTGGTCTAGCTCCGACTGACTCATGATTTCAATCTGTGAAATCACTAAATATTAGTTTAATGGTCTAAAGATTTGGCGCTTGTTCCAAGATATGAACGTACTGATTATGATCTTCCTGTTTTGAAGTCATCGATTCACACTACTAATGAATTCCAACAGTAAAATGTAAAATCTATTCTACCTTTTTTGGTTTATGTTAGTTGTTTAACTAATTTTAACCTAGATTGTACACTACTATTACGTATATATATATATATACCTTGACGTGGGGGTCGGACTTGCCTATCGTGATGAAGCAACCGAGCTATACTGGCTGGAACAACCGTTCCTCAAGGTCCTACCATGTCAGACAGGTCGGTTGAAGAGCGGTAAGACTAAAAGCAACAAACCCAAGGTCCGAAGGCGAAGTCGTACTGCTGACTGTACAGAGGTGTGACAGCAGTAAGGTGTTTCCTTCAGACAACCAGCATGACAGCGATGCTGCCTTCCCACAAGGAGGGGTGGGGTTAGAAAAGGTCGACCCTAAAAATGCACACCTCGCCTTATCCCACGGATATCCGTCTCCGGCGGTAAGGTCTCAACAAGTACGGAGCTAACACAAAAATTACCCATAAAAAGGTCGTGTGTGACCGACCTCAAGCAGTTGTCCCTTGGGCACTGCGGTCACGCTCTCAGGTCACTAAGACCACCTCTAATCCAATTTCCTTTTCAGGTACCTCCAGAAGAACCCTTCCACGGTGTGGGCAACCGGGAAGTGATAACCGCCCTCATACCTCTAACAGCACTCAAGACCACTGTATTCATAATCAACCTCCTCTTCAATTCCTATTATTCCTCCTACATCGACTTTCAACTCTAAACTTCCTTTTTCGGCTTCCTCCTCAAGTGTCACCATAGCCAACGATTCTAGTGCTCAAAACACTGTCCCAGGTCTACTGAAACCTCGCTCCAAACTACACATTGGAGCCTTCAACGTACGCACCCTATGTCAAATCGGTCAGCAGGCTTCCTTGGCTAAAACCCTAGAGTCTCTTTCCATTGATGTATGCTGTGTCTCCGAAACACGCATACAGGATCCCAGTGTGGTCATTCACTTGACCTCACCTCGGCAAAACGGAGAGCCAACGAGATACACCCTCGTGTATCTGGTGACCCGATGGCCAGTTCTCGTGGACTGGCAGGTGTAGGCATAGCACTAAGCATGAGGGCGGAACAAGCACTGCTAGAGTGGATCCCCGTCAACAGTCGTTTATGTGCTGTTCGGCTAAACGGCTCCGTAAGAACTCGGAAGGATAGGGACACACGTCGTTGCCTTTTTGTCGTTTCTGCCTACGCTCCCACTGACTGCAGCTCAGATGAAGTGAAAGATGAATTTTACAGAAAGCTATCTGAACTTCTTCAGAAAGCTAAACGCTCAGACATAGTACTCGTAGCAGGTGACTTTAATGCTCAGATAGGTAGTTTAAACCAAACAGAAAGGCATTTAGGTGGATATTTTAGTATTCCGGCACAGCGAACAGATAATGGTGATCGTCTGCTGCAACTGTGCTCAGACAATCGTTTATTTTTAGCAAACACAAATTTTAAGCATAAGGAGAGACATCGTCTAACATGGCGACCCCCTACACCAAACCAACGATGGACTCAAATAGACCATATTGCCATCAGTCATCGTTGGAGAGGGTCGGTAGAAGATTGTCGCTCATTCTGGAGTACCTGCTTGGACTCCGACCATGCCCTAATACGGGCACGCATCTGCTTGCGCCTCACTGGACGCAAAAAAGCCACATTAAAAAGACCCATTAGAACTGAGTTGAGTAACGAGAAAACCAAAAGTAGGTTCCAGGAACAACTGAGGTCACACTTAGGTAGTTCTGAAGACGAGGCTGACCCAGATGTTGCTTGGAAAGACATACAAACAGCTGTGGAAACAGCAGTGACATCTATCAGTGATTTAAACCACAGGGTTACAAAGAACCAGTGGATTTCTTCAAGGTCTATTGCACTGATGGATTCTCGTAAACTCGTCCCATCAGGTTCTGAACACGATGAAGAGCGACAACAAATCAGATCTAGGTTAAGAAAAAGTCTAAGGAACGACCGTGAGCAGTGGTGGGCAACGAAAGCAAAAGAGATGGAAAAGGCGGCGACTATAGGGAACACAAGACAGCTTTACAGACTAATAAAAGAAACTGGAATTAATAAGTCAAGTGTAAGTGAGATTATTTCGGAAAAAGACGATACTCTCATCTGCTCCCAGTCCAGACGTTTAGAACGATGGGCGGAACATTTCAGAGAACAGTTCAGCTGGCCTTCAGCTACTCTACAACTACCCTCCATTCCCAGACAGTGTGAATGGAACATTGAAGTAGGTCCCCCAACTCTTGCTGAAGTTCAAAAGGCTATAGTTAATCTGAAACGAGGAAGGGCAGCTGGTCCAGATGGACTGGCTCCAGAGTCTTTAAGGATGGTGGTCCAATTTTAGCGATTAGGTTGACTAATATTTTAGCTAAGATCTGGGAGTTAGACGTTATCCCATCTGACTGGTCACAATCACTTATCGTCCCAATATATAAGAAAGGGTCAAAATCATCCTGTGACAACCACAGAGGGATTAGTTTAACTAATATAGTATCTAAAATACTAGCCTCGATAATTATCAGACGCCTAACTAAGACTCGTGAACTGCAAACACGAGAGAACCAAGCTGGCTTCAGACCTGGTCGTGGCTGCATCGACCACATATTCACCATTCGTCAGGTTCTAGAACACAGGCATACTTATCGGCGTCCGACAATGGTGGTCTTTCTTGACTTAAAAGCAGCATTTGACTCTGTAGACCGCGAGATTCTGTGGCAGTGTCTGTCATTGAAAGGCGTACCTCAGAAGTACATAAACCTTGTAAAGGCTCTTTACTCGAACACTACTAGTCGAGTCAGAGCTTATGGCGAACTGTCATCTACTTTTGCAACCTCAAGTGGTGTCCGTCAAGGCTGTCCACTTTCTCCATTTTTGTTTAACTTCATCATAGACCTACTGATGGAAATAACATTCTCGTCGACTGAATTCTCGGGTATTGATCTCCTTCCAGGAGGTCCACTTATCGACTTAGAATACGCAGATGACATAGTCCTGTTTGGTGAAGACGCTGACAAAATGCAGAGTCTTTTGGTAGCACTAAGCAACAATGCCAGAATGTTTGGAATGCGCTTCTCTCCCTCTAAATGCAAGTTGTTGCTTCAGGACTGGTCTGCGTCAACACCTGAACTAAGGATAGGGAGTGAAGTAGTCGAACGCGTTGACAACTTCACTTATCTTGGAAGTCTGATCAGCCCTAATGGGTTGGTGTCTGACGAAATCTCAGCACGGATTCGAAAATTTCGTTTGGCTTTTGCCAACTTACGTCACCTGTGGGGAAGTCGAGTTATCTTTCTACCAATAAAAGGATGAGTATACCACACGGCAGTTCGTTCTGTTCTACTTTACGGCTACGAAACATGGCTATTAAGAGTAGAAGATACTCGGACATTACTAGTATTTGATAACAGATGCCTCAGAAATATTGCTGGCATCTGCTGGGATCACCGGATAAGTGATAGTGAAGTTAGACGTAGGGTATTAAGGAATGATGGCAAATCAGTTGATGAGGTTGTGAATCTTCATCGACTGAGATGATTGGGCCACGTGTTACGTATGTCTGAACACTAATTACTACGACGCGCAATGCTGACCAGTGTTGAACATGGTTGGAAGAAATTTAGGGGCGGCCAAACCAAAACGTGGCATCAGTGCTTGAAGTCACTAACTTCTAGTCTGAGCCATGTTGGGAGATGCAAACTACTTGGTTGGGGTCCGCGTGACTATCCTAACCAATGGTTGGAGACTCTGGGTGACATGGCTCAGAATCGGTCACAATGGCGTCGGTGTATACACTCTCTGTCTTCCCTTAAACTAAGAGATTAAAATCGCTTCATATCTTTATTTCTATGAACTAATTCTTTCTTCCTGTACTATATCCTTATACACAATCTTTCTTTGAACATTACTACCATTGAATTAACTACTTCTATGAATTCGGTGTTCATCTTGTTGTGCTAATACGATGTGGCAACTTGGACCGATGCATATATGTGCCTGGTCCTACGTTGTAGCTGACTGACTGACTGATAAATATATGAGGAAAAGATATGATGGAAAAAACTTGTAGACTAGTTTGTTTTTTTTTATTTTCCTCGGTTGACTGTTATTATTAATTAATTAAATAAGAAATTGGCATTCATATCTAATTTGATATTTATTTACATAAAATTGAATACAGAATGTTTGTGTGTTATTTAAATAATTTACTTCTATTCTATTGGTTATTAAAATGTGAATAAATTGCGCGAAATTATCCAATCAAATGATTTCTTACAATTTCACTATTATTTAACATGAATATTAGTTATATACATTACTTATTCAGGCATAGATACAAACTTTTTTCTTTGTGTGTATGTGTGTGTGTGCCTGTGTGTGCCTGTGTGCGCCATACATAGTTTCAGTAAAATGGTTTAACATCATAAGATCTTAATAATTATTTTCATCACGATAGTTAACTAATAATATTTTCCAGGTCATTTCACTAGTTATTCTACCAACCGGATATATGTGAAATGAAAATTTTCATTTCAAGTAGTTTACTTTTTAAAAAAAATAAAATGCCTTGATGTGTTTTTCATACTATTCACACGTATGGAAAATATATATATATATATATATATATATATATATATATATAATCAGAAGGGGTTTTGCAGAGATTGTAGTAATTTCAGTAGTTGAGATCATGAATCATTTGAAGCTAGAAAACTATGGAAAACCTGGAAGCACTGAATGGCCGTTTCGTCCTATTGTGGGAATTCTCAGAAGTCTGTATCCATGACGCCGCCTCGAGAGGTTCCAACTCAGGATCTATCAGTGTTCCAGGTTTTCCTTGGTGGTTTAGCTTCAATTAACTCATGAATTCAACTGCTAAAATATCCATTTAATCCTTTTGGAAATACATTTTATTTAAGCTATAACATCTGTCTAATCTCTGTTTTAACAATTCCAATCATATTTGAAAATCTTTAAAAGTCTAGATATTCAACTAGTGTTTCTTAATCTAAATTAACTTTTTTTTCTAGAACAAAGTGTATAAAAACT